ACAGAGATTTATGTACAATCCCTGAATTTGGCCTTCTTCCCCCATGGAGACTAATGAATTTATCCATTGTTACTTTTTAAACATGTATCGGTTCCCTGCTTACATAATCTTACCATAAGGATATCACACTCCTTCATTGGTCACATGGGACATTGTGACCTTTTTAAACTGGGTGAAAGTGAGTGAATTGAACACTATTGAAATTGCACATCTGTTGAACCGCATTGAAGGGTCACAAAAGGTTTGTGTCGAGACCTTAAACCTCCCACAATTCTTATGATAATGTGTTATGTCTTGGCATGTGAAGGTTAATCGAGGGCAAGTGTAGAATGCAATATACTTAAAAGGAAAAGGAAACGGTTGAAGATAATTAAGTAAATGAGTCTGTTATTGAAAGAATGCTGCTGTAGATATTGGTTGGATTATGTCTTGGCATCTAATTTATTTTGTCTAGTACATTTTGTCAGGTAACCAGAATTGCCTTATGTCTTGGACAGACTTTTCCATCATTTGCTTGTCACTGCTGTCGACTGGGCATGCGTTCACTCACTGCTTTATAAAGTCCTTCTGATCCAAGAAATTAATCTTGTTCAACCTAACCCGGGCAAATTAGCTTTCCTTTGTCCCCTTTGATGCAATAATTTGATACCCTAACTGGTTCCATGCGGAGATGTGGTACAAGAGCCCGTACAGTGTATGATCTTAGAAATTAAAGACCTGTTCGGCAGCCAACCTCCCTAGTCTGATGGCATTAGACAAGCGGCAGTAACCAAAGACTCCAACGTCAAGGACGCATCATTCATCCGGAGTGGTTTCCATGTCAAAGAGCACGATAGGAGCTTCAAATTTCCATTGTTAGATAGCACCACAGCGGCAGCACCAGTGGCATGCAGAATTAGGACTTGAAAATGTGAGGGAGTTGTCAAAACATCTGGCCAGTAGTGTTGATCCATGCTATCTAGCTTTGAGGCAGACTACAACATAGTTCAGCAATCTTAAAAGATACACAATTGTTCAATGAAAAAATTGGTCCAGTTGTTTAAAGTAGCAAAATATAAAGTTTCCATGTCAAGTCATCATTAAATGGCCCTATCTGTCAAAGGGCATTAACAAAACATGCTCTTTTCGAAAACTTCTTTAACTGGTAACAGTAGTTCAGCCGAGATATTCAAGTTTCAAAATTAGTTTTACAGTCCCTAAATCTTGTTATTGTTTTCATTTTGATGTCCCACCCTCCACCATTTCACCAATCAGAAAGTCAGTGATCCGGGTTGCCAGAACTCACAGCATCGAGCTAATTTCACTGGTAACATCTGGTCACAGAACTAAAAAAAGGTCTAAAACAAGGAATAAAAGGAAGATTTCTATTGGGGCCTTCGTGAAAAAGGTGTTGGTTATAGATTTGTTGTTGACAAAACTCATGTCTATTCAGATTTTATGGTCCCAGCTCGAGTTGTCTGCATATCTGGCAACTTGAGTCAGGGAGAGTGGGGGAGGTTGCAGTACCACTTTTGGCCAGATTTTTATATATTATAATTTTTACACTTTAAGTATTGACACCTGATCATTTTTAAATACATCTGAGAACATACATTTGAGATTGCAATCGCTTTGACTTGTTTGACAGCTGTCATGTTGCCCCGCACTCCATTTTACAAAGAGTGAGTTGATGTCGTTTGAACATGAATAAAAATGGCAGAAGTTGTATTTTCTTGGAAGAGTGAAAATTAGTCAACATGTGTTTTTTCAACATGACATTTGCCAAAGTTAGGCTTATTTTCATCCATAGTTGCATTGGTTTATACAGTATGTTGTTCAATGTGTCAAAACTATTGGGACTGCTTTACGGCTACATGATACATACATTTCCAAACATTAAAATGCTTTGCTGTGCGTATCAAATCTCTAAAATGTACAGGACTAAATTAAGTATGATTTTACACTTTGATGCCTTCGCAAGCCAGTATCCTTGGTGTGCTGTTTACTCGTGCCTGTGTGTGTCCCAGCTGGCCTTTGTTTGTTGGATTTCCGCCTGGTTAATTTGGTCAGAGGTGCCTGCCTTTGTCTGGACTTTACTGACGAAGCCTCCAAGGATACTGGGGGGGAGGCGTTTTGGATAGACCATCTGTTGCAGAAACTTTTCTCTCCTCCATCAGCCGTCAATCTTTGAACAGAACACATGTGAAAAGGCTTTTTGACTTTTCAAGACTCTATTGTCAATTGTCAACGTAAAAATGTTTGATGATTGCTTACAATATTGTCATTTCCTCCTAAGATGTAATGAGAACTTAGAAAATGGCACAAGACAAGATTTTTATACTGTAGATTTAATCGTTTTCCTACTTCTGATGTCAGTGCAGACACAAAAAGCTTAAGTAGGAATCTTCGTCTTGGCTAATGCAAAAACCACAGGTGTCTCAAAGTCTTATTTGTCATTGTCATCTGAAAACAAATCTTTGCCTACTGTCAACACAAAACCAGTGTAGTTTCAACACACAATCGTTTCAATTTGCAGCAACTCTCCCTGATACTATGCCAATGCGTTCTGAGTCATAATAACGTGCCACAGTGGTTTGTTAATCTACCTTGTTTATGTTTCACCACAACGGTTTGCATAATAAGTAGAAAACAGAAATGAATCCCGAGTGTGATTCCCTGTTACATAAGAGTAACTGATCTTCTTAAAATTAAAGCGTATTAATCTTGCAGTTGACCTCAGAGGCATCCCTTCACGTGAGGAAGATTATACTACTGTTACTACATGCTCTAAAATCGGTTCTAGGACTTGGCAAAACATTTTTTGTAAATTGTTGAATCATGATACGGATGTTTTAATGCTGTAATGTATAAGACAGCATCAATGATGCTAGTGTTTATACACCTCCTGCTGCAGACAATAGGAGGCGGGACATATCAGGTGGCTGCACGCTTCCTCTCTCCCTTCGCCCTCATCTTAATTTGAGCAGCCCCGTTATCCCTCTCCAGTCCCCTGCGGGGAAAGTACTACATTTAGCCCCGGCCCATTAGACCCTTGTATGTATCATAGACTCCAGGAAAACCCTGATGAGTGAAGTTGCTGAGAAGCCAGTTGTTGCACAAAAGAGCACCAACAAAAAAGAGCAGCCACAACATAAATGCAGTGATGATCATTAGTGCCCACATTTGCAGATGCTGTTATTCATGTTTGTTTAATGGTTTTTGTAATGAATCCAATATTACTTTAAAATAGTTTTTTTATAAATATATATAAATATATATATATATACACTGTATATGTGTGAGGAAGGAGGTGGAATTGAAGTCGCCACTGTGTCGCTCTTTATTCACGTATGAATCATTGCATTCAGAATAAAAAATAAATACAAAATCTGAAACGATTTATTCTATTATTGTGTCATTTAGAAGCTGATTCTGTGTCACATATATGTCACATATGAAACACATGTCCCATGACAAACAGAATAGTTCTCTTCAGATGCACACGTGGCTGGATGCCGTTAATAGTTAATGAGGATTGATGTCTGAAAGTGGCGACCTTGTATAAGGTTTCCTAGTGGAATCCATGCATATTGATCTCTTAGTTTTATGCTTTGTTGGTTGCTGTTTCGTCCCTCTTCTTCTGTGACCATCTCATGATTAATGGCAGTAGACTTTTACTTGTTAACCTACAACTCCGAAGCTTGTTTCTAAGCAATTCGGGAAAAGTCTGATGTTCAAACTGCTTCCTTCTATAAATTTATCTTTCAGAAACTTGTAAAAATAATATTGTCTCTCATTGGACATTTTAGGGAATTAATAATCTTTAGGGAACAACTTCTCTACGTTATACATGTTATGTTAATGTTGTCCTATTTTGAAGTGCTTTGTTGTCAATTTTCTGATCTTTTACTTTTAAACCCGGGGTGCCCAAAGCGGGGCGTAAATCTAGTTTTGCCCATGTGGAGATTCTGATATCGTTAATCTTGTTAGGCATTTTCATTCTTTCCCCTAAAAACAATTCACAAATTGGATTAAATCAGAAATTACTCTTCAAACTAACTTTTAAGTGTACTTCAAATAGGTCTGGCCCTGGCTCTTATGTTTAATTTTGGCTTGCTGTGAAAATCATGTGGGATTATCCCTGTTCTAAGCTAGTGCTATAGCCTTACAGTTACAGCTGGCCTACAGTTGCAGTTAAACTATCATTAAACATTAAAGTTCCATGAATCACAAACCAAATAGTGTCCATTGAGTGCCAGGGCTAAAATTGTATTTTCCCCGTCTGAGGAAATGACAGTCAGTCTGAGCAATCAGCCTGAGATTCCTGTTTTGCTTCTCTTATAAAGCCCATACAAAACAAGCCTGGGAATGTGGTCTAATAGTCATGGATAGAACAACAAGGTCCAGACCAAATACTCAGTAATGTGTATATGTCATTTTTAAACACACTTTTTCCCCAATACAACATACAACACTGAAGAAGGGTAGATGATATAAAATAAGGTGCTCAATTAGAGGCTAAACTTGGCGTGGCTGTTTAATGAGGTGTATGCGAGTGGTAGTTACAGCGACACACCCTCAAAACTCAACTTTTCGGACTTATTAATAAGAGGACGACATTGCCAATTTAGTGCCGCTCTGCAAATATAATGTGTGACTTTGAGTAAAATGGAGCAAATTAGAACAAGTTATAAAAAATCTGACAGGTATGACTGGCCCCTTTCTTTATCCTTCCTAGTTGCATTGAGCTTCACTAAATGTAGTCTTGTTCTAATAAAATCAAATTCCTTCCACAAAGAATAGATACTTTTACAATTTTACCCAATTTTTTTTTTGCAACTTAAAAACACACACAATTAACAATTATATTTTTTATTAGTGTATATATAGTTTTTTCTCCTTAATTAAATTGGACATAATCATGTCAGGCGTGTTAAAGGCTTTCAGATGGTAATGTACAGCTTTGAAGTTACTGTATTTGTGCCCAGATGCTAATTGTGCGGTGGTGCTTTGTTTTGCAGGGGGCCCGTGTCTGGCTGCGGGACAAAGAGCAGCTGCTCCCCTCTACAGTCAGCTCCTGTGATGATTCATCTCTGGTCCTCACCACGGACTATGGCAAGGTAAGATGCACACGAAAACTGATTATAACACAATACATGCAGGTTTCTCGCCAGCGATGTCTGAGAAAGATTTTTTGTTAACCCCTACGCTGCAATTTTGCCCCCAACGCTAGTCAAATCACAGTGTTCTTTGGAGGCTTTCATTTCATTTTCTCAGATCAATTGCCGTCTTTTCTTAAAATAAACGTTGTCAAAAATGGTGATGTTAAGGCTCCTTCTCCTCCGTTCTCATTTGACTGTATTTTGACCAAAGTGAAATCGGGTCCTGGTTATGCAGTAAGCGGAAATCGTGTACAGATTTTGAAAAGTTTGTTCGATTTGGTGTCATGTATAGTTTATTATTGATCTCAAACAATGTAATCCAAAGATCAAGACCAAGATTTTAAAAGAACATCAACAAATGTTACTCTGAATAAAGAATGACAGGAATTGGCTGCTATGTCGCTGACCTGAGCTGATGTTGTAAATGTTGGTCTTTGTGTCGGGAGGAAATCCTCTGTGCTATTGAGCCTGCACTGTATATGGGATTGTTGAGGAAAGAAAGGCAATGACAGATGGTCAGAAAATACAGAAAAGGCAAAGTTTGTGCACTGACCTGATACGTCTCGAGTTTAAAGACACAATCAGCTGCAGGTCTAGGTCAAGGCAATATAGGAAGAAGCAGATTGTGTCTGTCTTCTCTACAACTAAGCCTCTGGATGCAATTTGCAAATCCCTTCATACTTCATTTGTCTGTCATTTACTATTGTTCTACCTTTACAATTAAAATATACTTTGACAGATCATACAACACATATTTGGGATGATTTATTTGTAAGATGGATGTTTGAGATCTGGGAGATGTTATCAAAGATTATTGAAACATGCATAGGCCTTTCCCATTTCAATCTGAAGTGATGCAGCAAGAGCCATGAGCTCATAAAATAACTGTTCATAAATGAAGTGTGAGCGGAACCATGAGTGAGCTGGAAAAACATCAGGTCACAAAGAATTCACGTCTCTGGAGCAAAGGTTGAGGACGGAAAGACTGTTTATGATGGCCCTGTAGGGGTTAAACATGTGGCCTGCATGACAGATGTCAGATGTTATGGTTGGAAAAGAAGTGCATGAGACTGACGTTTCACATGTGGAAGATGAGTTTGTTCATTAGCAGAGAAAAGGTTTTAAAAAGTAAAACAAATCCAAGGATATTTTAGTTTTCAAGTGTTGTCCTTTTATTCAACATGATAACTGATTATCCGCTATTCACTGATGCCAGGTTCATCTTGAACCTGAATATAGAATTTCCAAAAAATAAAGTTAAGAATAATTAGATGCATCATTAATGTATCTCACAGTGCTCACCTTGTGTGACACTGAACAGTTTTACACATAGACAGATATTACCATATGTCTCACTTCTAAATCTGCAGAATTAAAAGCCATTCTTACTAAATGTATTTAAAAGCCCCACGTTCCTTATCACAGCAGGTTTGCTGCATGCACAATGGCAGCATTACTCCCTTTGGTTAGACCCCAGTTTTACGAGGCTCTCGGACAAAGTGCTGTGGCCTGAAGATGCCAGAGAGTGGAGTGTTTTTACCCTCAATCTGTTTAATGACTGTCTACAGTAGCTGTCTTGTTAACCATCTTAAAGCATTACGTCTCGTGACCAGTCGAGGCAGGGAGATAATGACTTTAATATATTCTGTGTAAAATAGTGGGTTTCTCAGGACGTGTGAAGAAAGGCAGGAATATGCTCTGTCACTGGGGGATTCTGGACTGGTGATTTTCTGGACATTACAAAAACAAGTTTATATTGTTTGTTTAAGCATTCAAACAACCCTCAATGAACAATACATAATTAACTTTTTGGTGGGACTATTAAGTCTGGGAAGTCTTTTCTTGAATGCATGAGGCTTAACAAATATGTAATATTAGAATATGTAAATAAATACATGGATATATGTAAAGCCATGTAAACAAAACCCAGAGACCCACCTATCTTTGCAGCCATGCTTCTACAATTGTTACTGACGGCTGTTATATTACAATCTTTAATCATGACATAAAATAGTGGCAGAGAGTATTAAGAGTCATTATTCACTCACTACTCATGTACACTAGGGCCTTGCAGTGCGTTGTGCAAGTGACGTCACGTCACCTCCATAAGCTCCGCGCCTTGCAAGTATACACTAGGCTTTACTCTTGATACACGGCTAGCTACGCTGTCATTATGCACAATTATTGTCCCTCTTGTGAGGTGTGAGTATAGTTATGCATGCATCGTGGTCCAAGCATTTGTTTTCATTTGAGAAAGGTGTGGTATTTTAAGTAACCCTTTTGTATAACAATTAATACAATAATAATTTAGAGATACTGTAGAGCTATTGGCTGCTTTTACATTTCCATTATCACTAGTACCCCTGAAAGCCTGCGGCCAGCCTGGGGTCTGGGTGGGCTTGGTGGCAGATGGACACTGTGAGACAGAGTGACAGTCAAAGTGAATGGAGAGGCACAGGAAGGCGCTTGTGTGCACGTGCCACGCTTCTGGCCATGTGTTTGTGGAATAATGTATCCTTTGGGGAAAAGATGGGCTGACCCCGCCCGCTGTGAATATTCAGGGTTGTTGGCTAAACAAAAGCAGCATGGGTTTCTGGGGTGTGGCTGTGAGGGAAAACAAAGGAAGACTGCACTGCCAATACATGATCTTTCAAACAGGCAACATGTTATTTTGTGAAGTACATTTCAATGCTGTGTCCTGCATTACTGTGTGTCCAGCAATCACTCTTTCAATTAGTCGATTAGGTGTTTAGGAAGAGAACATGTACAATATTGTTCAGATGTGTTCCTAGACATGCAATGCCCCACCAAATAAACAATATTTCAAGACAGTAAATCTGACATTTGATCTCAGTTTGACCCACATAAGTAACCAAGTTACCAAATTTACATTGTGACAACAATGTTTTCACAATTTTTCATTATTTTTGTCTATTGCTGCTGTGTTTTAGCCTTAAAACTCAAATCTGTGAGCACATTCATGTTTTGCATATAGAGCAATTAATGATTAATCAATTTCTAAAATAGTTTCCCCAAATATGGAAAAACATGACTAGTTGCAACTAATTGGTTATTTGTTACAGCTTAACTCAGAATAAAATCACTTTGCAGTAAGTCATTATTCTTCTTATGTTAATTATCACCACAGAGAAGTTCACATGAAACAGCGATGGCTTATCGAATTAGTTCTGTACACAATTAAGGTAATCAATATCCAGTCAAATAAGCTCTCATAGGTTGCACTGACTGGGACAATCCGTTTGTAATAACGCTTTAGGGAAAACATGTCTAGATTGATGTCCACAAGTTACTGTAACACAAAAACATGTAAAAACACAACTATTTGTTCATCCATAAACTGAATATATAAAATAATAGCTTTACATCAATATGTCTGTTTACCGTCTTACATCACTCATGTCTGGCTTTTATTGGTGTTTTCAATTGTAGCAGGATAAAGTCTAGGCATTAGAGCACCCTGTGGGATTAAAATGGACACATTAGAGATTAGTGGTTCAAGAATGTATCTGCTTACATATATTCCAACTTAGATCTGTTCAGGGCAACTGTGTCAGCATGTGATATGGAAAGGCTTTATGCCTTTACAAAAGTAAGATGATTTGATTTTTTGACAATTTATGTTCTAACCTTTTTATATTTTGACAATAGATAAGTTATTTTTCATGTAAAAATCTAGCTTTTGTCATTGTTTATTTCCCACAACATCTATGTAATTTCATTATAGTTTATGAAAAACATGATATGTTTTTTTGTCCATTAAATTGTTAGATTCAGCTACAGTTGAATATGTTTGAGTACTTTTCAATGTTCCAAGCATGAAATCACATAATGCCCCCTGCCTCAGGCACAAATAGTGACATCAGAACGAAAACTGATCTCCAAAAGATAAAGAGAACATCATGTGGTGAAGAAGAGCAGGGCCATAAAGGGGCGCATTCACAATGAAAAGGCAAATCAGCAGGCTGCATTTGGAATGAAAGCTATGGTTTCAAAGACGCTTAAAAGATACTTTTTATCTTTACTTCAACTTTATAATGAATTAGTAAAAATCAGAATATTATTGCGTTGTGAAGAATTGTTTACATATTGAATAAAATCAAATAAATAAAACTAATTGGGAATTCGTCTGATCGACGAAAAAACTATAATGAGCCTTTGAGAAACGATTGACAGCTGCTAGGACATCTTTGTAGACATGTGAACTACAATGTACATATAAGTAAGTAAGTAAGTAATCTTTATTTATTTACCGCCTTTCACAGAGCAGAGTCACAAAGCGGTTTACAATTGTTATTTTTTTGGGCATTTGTCCTCTCACTCCACACAGAGAGATGGGAGCGGGGTCGCCAGTACAGGAGGTGCATGCCAGACCTATTGTAAATGTTTTTACCAGAGTACCGGAGGAAACCTACTCAGACACGGGGAGAACCATGCAAACTCCACTACGCCCTGCTCCGACTGGGATTCGAACCCAGGCCATTCTTGCTGAGAGGCAAGAGTGTTATCAGCCACTGTGCCGCAGACGTAATATCATAAGAACCAAGTACTTGGGCTACCAGAAGTATAAGAAATGAGATTTTAACTGATACTGAAACAACAAATAAAAAAAAAAAAAAATAAATAAAAAAAGTAGGGGCGACAGTAGCTCAGTTGGTGGAGCATTGGCCTTCAGGCCTGAAGGTCGTGGGTTCAATTCCCACCTCTACACCTTCTCCACCGACTCCCACTGATGACTGCTGTCGTTGTGTCCTTGGGCAAGACACTTAACCCCACTTTGCCCAAAGCCCCCACTGAAAGATCAAGGCTATGCTCACACTCAGAGAGCAGCCGTCCTCCTGTGGACTCACCACCTGCAGAGGGTCAGTGAGGGGCTGGTGCTATGAGACTTGGGTGGCATCTCTGATTGCCACCCCCCTGACCCAGAAATTGATTAAAGGGTAGAAAATGGATGGATGGATGGATAAAAAAAGTGAGATTCTCTGAGCAGTTTTTGAATGATTTTGATCTATATCAAAAAAAGTATATAACATTGTGGAACCATAAAGGCACTATGGTGTTATTATTCTATGGCAATGATTTTAACTTCATCACCATTAAAAATCATCACCTTGGTTTTGAGTTTGTTTTTATTAGTATCAAAAATGAGTTTGCAATCTTAGCTTTGTGAATACACTACCAATGGTCACTGTTTGAAGTCCTGCCATAGAAAGACCCGTGCTGACATGGATCATGTTCAGATGTAAATGAATGATTAAATGATCAGGCTGATGGAGCATGTGCCAGTGAAGAGCTTATTTGGTTTGCTCACATGAGTTGGCTGTCAGTGTGGAATCATGGCCACGCGAGAAAAAGAGGGTGGAGATCCAGATGCTTATAAATCCAGAACCTTCTGCTCCGCGATGACATCACTGTGTCCACTCTCCCCCTGAGACACTGACCGTTTGGAGAATAAAGGGATGACCGCATGTTGTGTTAAGGAGCCGTGTCAATGTACACCCATTCTTTTTAAGCCCTTTATCAGTGAGATGAGCGTGACGTCATAATCAGAAAATGCAATCAGCTAATGAAAACAAGAGTCACAATGCTGTTTTAAGTACTAGGAAAAATACATGCTTTAATTGATCAGGTTTTTTTTATGAAAGTGTGGGTATTGCAGTGATGGTGTCTTGGTTTACTTAGTTTTGTTTATTTATTTTTGAATATTTTTGAACCAGGTACAAGTTATTTGTCTGTTTTTTTTATATATGTAAAAATATGTGTAGATTGTAAAATATCATTACAAAGTCAGAACAATGCAACACAATGCAGTAGTGTTGCAGTGTTGCTAACCAGTAGTGCAATAACGCAAGTATAGGATAATATTTACAACACAGATAAATATATTTGCATGTAATATAGGGCTGGGCGATATGGCAAAAAAAAAAAATCTCCGATTTTTTCACACCAAATCCGATTTTCGATTTTAATCGATTTATTTTTTTCTATTTAAAAACAAACTACAACTGACAAAGAAATAGATTTTCCTTTATGCAGTTTAATCTAAATCCCCATGGAGCATAAGTGTAACAGGAATTAAGCCTTAAAACATGCTTGTAAACGAGATGGCTCTGCCATTGTAAACAGTGAAAATGTAGCTTAACAGTTTTATAATAACTTCACTTACAATGACACTATGCACCTTCAAAATAACTTAAATCACACAAACAAGGCCCATCGCAAATATATCAATCCTATTAAACACATGCATTATTTACATGAAATATCACATTTTTAAAACTGATTACTCAAAATAGAAATGTTGTAACAGACAGTCTTTTCCAAAAGCCTCCTCGGGTTTTCATGCTTGTTCTTTCAACTGTGCTGTAGTACAACGCTCGGTCCAGCTGGTGGCGCTAATACTAACTTCAGTGACTCCCGCATTGTGCGAGCTTCCTGTTTACATTCGGATGCTGTAGCTAACAGCTACTGTAGCAGCTACTGTAGCTAACAGCTACTGTAGCTAACAGCTACTGTAGCTAATAGACAGCGGGGAACACGTTGTTTGTATCAGAGCAATGAGAGCAATGTGTGAGACGTGTCTTTCCCCAAAGTGCAGCGGCTCAGTGGGACACGAGTGTATGCGCGCCACGGACACGGGAGTGCGCTTTGGAATAACGAGCGTGAGAGAGCGTGAAAGATGTGGCGTACGAACATGGCGACCGGAGCCTGCGTGCGTGCGCGTGTGTGTTTTGGCGATTTAAATAAAGTCTGATTCTTGAACGTTTGAAGTGTTATTGCAACAGCACCAACTGTGAGAGCGAGCATCAGGCCAGAGGGAGACTGTTAGCATTAGGTTAGCTTCAAAATGACTGCTCAACACCATAGACCCGCGGTTAGCGCGTTAGCGCTGTAGTTCTGCGCTGGAGAAAATAAAAATCGAATTTTTAAAAAAAGAAATCGCCCTAAACGTAAAACTCGAATTAATGATTAAAATCGATTAATCGCCCAGCCCTAATGTAATATATACTTCTCTACTCCTCCTGAAGTGTTGAGGTGCAGTTTGTTGAGGGCATAAGGACAATATAGAAAATAATAATTGGTCAGATTTAGATATACTAATACTTCCATCTGTAGTCTGTGGACGATGAGTACACATACAAACACATAACAAAGTATGACTATAAAGTCCTGTTCTCGTCACCTCAGTCTCTGTCAAAACCTTTTTTCGACGTTTTTATCATTCATATGAAAATAAGTATCACACTATATACCAAATGTGAGCTGTACTTTTTCATAAATAATTCTGAACAAAACGGACCACAACATGCTGCCAAAACATATCTTATTGTAAAACCCTTTATATTTTGAAATACTTGTATGAATGAGCCCTGTGAGTCACTTTTTCTCTTATAACTCAAAAAACTGATTCAAAGATGTGACGGAGGCCAAAAAATGCATGTGTGTAAAATTATCGAGAGAACCGTTTCTGTGAGCGACAAACCAGTTAGATTGATTCTTATTTTTCATTTTTTTTAAAAGCTAAATGATATATATAACAAATAACAAATTCTAATAATAACATAATAATGATGCAAAAAATAAATAAATATGTTTTTTTATTAAATATTTTTATATAATGTGTGGAATTTGAAGTTAGAATCTCCTGCTATAATCTTATAGACAAAAATAACATAACAGAACTTAGATTCTCCCTCGGCTCCCGGCTGACTCAGCATGTGCGATTCCCAGATGTGACACTATTGAACACTGTAGCAGAGTAGCAGTAATGGCCTGGGACACCACAGCCTTGAGCCCTGTCCATCAGTATCGATCTCGTGTTGTTCCCAGCATCACAGCCTCCCAACTCTTACATCATCATTTCTACTCTTCAGTTTAGTTTAGTTTTTCTCCTAATGTCAATCTAATCCATATTTAGCATTTGGATATTACTGAAATTTCGTGTCTGACACAACTTGAGAAAGTTGAGCATTGTTCGAGCAAGTGATCCACCTTCTGCGTCAGGTCATAGCTATGCGACTATAACTCTGAGATTAGATCCTGAGCGATCCTGTGTGAAAGGGTTTATAGCCCAAAGCTGTGGAAATATACAAAAGTCCTATATTGCATTTTATCTGCAATGTCTGAGTCAGTATGGAGTAACAGTTCTGTTTGGGTTGGGAAATTTAACCTAGGTTCAGGAATGAAAACATTCAGAGGGACAGCTCATGTTGTAGGCACTATCTGGGAGTTTTCAACATAAACACAAACACAAAGAGAGCACAGCCGCTGATTCATCTTAAACACATTTTGATTCATAGATTTTACAGATAAACAGAAATACCAAAGAAGAACGTTTTACATATCAAGACCAGTGGGGGCGGGTCCCAGCTCAAAAGTGGCCAAAATGACAGGTGCTGACATGCTTACAATACCACCCCGGGCCGATGGGGGTGGACCCAGAAGAAGAATTAGCCAATGCTAACATAGCATTGGCAGACCTCTCTGTCACTCCCGTATTCGTCCCGGAAACAAGATTCGTCCGGAAGTTCAGTTTGATCCAATGAGCATACGCAGCAGTAGATTACGTCACGGAATCTGGATTTTTTTGGTCCACTCTAGTTTACTTGCTGTGAATTTTTGAAGTCTCTCGTTCAAATGACTGGAGCTGCGCCGGCTGACGCATGTGCAGATGTGTTTTTTCACAATTTTCTTGTGGGCGGGACCACTCGCGGCCATTTTGGATAGCTCCAGTAGAGCATATTTTTTGGCCCATTAGTTAGAACGGCAGAGATAGGCGTGACTCTGTCCGTTAATAATTACAGTCTATGATCAAGACACATAAATCTGATCCATTAAATTGGACCTAAAGTCTAGAGAAAAAGGTTGAATTGAAATTGGAAATGTACAGGTTTCACAATAATAGAAGTTATCTATCTGGATATTTTCTGTGTCTATAATTCACCCTTATTTGGTAAGAAAAACCTCACTAATACATCACAAAGATTAATATAACTAAAAGGGGGTTATATCTTTTCTAATTTCATCAGAATCTTTTTCCGACACCCAACTTTTTCTGAAGATCCATCAGTTAACACAATTGAGGTTGTGAATGTATTGTAAAACCTGCAGGGATACTTCCTACTTAGAACATAATTGTAGTTTCACCTTCACATCACCATCCCATCCATTGAAAGCAGACATAATAAAGAGCGAGTGGAATCTGACTAACTGCTGTCATACTGAGTCATGTGTGGTGTAGGTTTCATTTATCCCCGGGGCTGACTCTTTGTGAACACGCTCTCGTTCCAGGTGCTGTACCTCCAGAGGGTAGAGCTGAGCCGGGACATAGTATTCGCCATGCACCCCAGCAGTGTCCAGGGTGTGGAGGACATGTCCACGCTGACGGAGCTGCACGAGGCCGCCATCATGCACAACCTCTACCTCCGCTACCAGAAGGACAATATTTATGTGAGGGGCTGATGCTACAGTGAACCTGAGACGTGGGGTTGGACAATAGAAATAGACACACTGAAATAGCTTGCTGTGAAGATGATAACATTGTAATATTGCAATTTACACAGATGTGGTTAAAGCAGGGGTGACTCATTTTCAAACTCTTTATCACTCGTATCATGGATGTTTGGCCTCTTTCACATCTTTAAACCAGCTTTTTCCAACTGAAAAGTTTTATGATGTTTTCAGACTAAAGCATCATATACATCTCACAGGGCTCTTTCTTACAAGTATGCAAAGGATAACATATTCATATGAACCCAGCATGTGGTTGGCTGATTTGTATTGTTCTTTCTGTAGATCATTTTTTTAAACAGAAAGTTAGATACCCTTGTTGTAATGTTACTCTATGCACATTCCGCTTTTGTGGATCTGCTTCTGTCATGTTCAGAGTGAATAATCACTTGCCTTTTGACACTTAGACTCTTTGAAAATCACTATAATATTATTATTTCTGTCCTGTCTGTACACCATTTTGTCCAAGATTTAGCTCACCAATATCAGTGAGATATGTGCAAAGGAACTTCCACTAACCTATGTGTAAGGATTCCTATCCCCAATTGATCTGGTGGGTGCCTCTATGTGCTTCAAAGGACCTGTACCCATCAAAGTTACCCAAAAACACACTCTAGACACCCAGGTAGGAGCACCCACTGTAGCTTAAAATAATATAGACTTACCCCAAACTAGGTCATTCATAGTATTACATGGTTATATGAGAATTACTGACTTTCAATTACATCCAAAGCTGCATTAAGAGATTTTGGTGCTATGAACTTTATAACCGTTTAATAATCTGCTTATGTTTTTGCGAGTCTGGTGTCCTCGCTCACCTCTCCCTGTTCCAAATGTTTTGTCAGACCAACATTGGCTCCATCCTGGCTGCTGTGAATCCCTACAAGCAGATCCACGGCCTCTACGGTAGTGCCTCTGTGGACTTGTACAGCAAACACCAGATGGGGGAGCTGCCTCCTCACATCTTCGCCATCGCCAACGAGTGCTACCGCTGTCTCTGGAAGAGGCGCGACAGCCAGTGTGTGCTCATCAGGTCCGGACAAACAGCTTTTAAGAATTTTGCTATTCCCCGTAAATCATACTTGTTTGTGAAGATATACTTTTTCAATTTTTTAAAATAATTGTACCAAAATCATGTACATTTAAATCTGATCTCAATGAGTCAATGATCTGCCTCACCTTTTGTCTTTTCTCAAAGTTTGAATGGTCTGAACTACAGAAATATGTTGAAACAGTGGATAGTCTTTTGGTTTTTCAATTGTTTTAATACTCAATATTGAATAAAATTGGCAAATCTGCTTGTATTAATTTTTAAGGAGGATAATCTAAAACTTAATTTTAACAAAAATGTCATGTACTAACTGACACTGCACTTGTAATTATCATCTCACCTTAAGACTTAACTGTTTTCTGACACATCACTGTATTATTTGGACTGTTGTTTTTGCTGTTATCCATTGAATATCGTTATTTTTTCATTTATTTTACAGTGGTGAAAGTGGTGCAGGAAAGACGGAAAGCACCAAACTGCTGCTTAAGTTTCTTTCAGTGATGAGTCAGTATTCACTTGGGACTCCGCCATCAGAGAGCACAACCCGAGTGGAGCAAGCGTTGGTCCAGAGCAGGTGAAACAAAACTTCTGGTGGTGTGACATGGCTAAATCCTTTCAATGCATAATCACTGACTCGACTGCTGTTCTTTTTTATGTGTTTGTTTTTATCGGTGTCTATTGTGATTCTTGTTTTTATCCTGGAAAGCGCCCTGGGCACCTTCTGGCTGTTGTTGGGCGCTATACAAATAAAAATTTGATTGATTGAAATCCTGACCAACACACATGATGTAATCCTATTTTTTTTCCACAGTCCCATCATGGAGGCCTTTGGAAACGCAAAGACTGTATACAACAACAACTCCAGTCGCTTTGGGAAGTTTATCCAACTGAACTTTTCTCATAACGGAAACATCCAGGGAGGATGCATCATCGACTGTATCCTTCAGCAGGCCCAGTTGTTTAGCCGCTAACTATAAAGCTATTTGCCCTACATCTATTTTACATTTGAGTCATTTACTGTATTTTTTCAACTTAGATTATTGTGTTTTGGCTCAGAGTCACACATCCCTGCTTTGAGAACCACTAGTCTAGGGCCTAGACTAGTGGTTCTCAAAGCAGGGATGTGTGACTCTGAGCCAAAACACAATAATCTAAGTTGAAAAAATACAGTAAATGACTCAAATGTAAAATAGATGTAGCACGTTTTGACAAATCAAAGTTTTAACATATTTTCTATACAACTTGAAGTGGGCAGTTGACTCCCATTTCGTGAATGTCGTGTTTATTTTTTGTACTGTATTACTGGTTTTGCCTTGACGTATGTTGTCAGATTTACTGGAAAAGGTAACACATGCTTTATATGTGTTTATTGCCATTTTAATGAGGATATTAATTATTGTGTATTCTTCAGAATACATATGAAAACAAAACATTTTGCAAAATATATGTTTTTTAAATTTAGAACAGAGTGGTCCGCCAAAATCCTGGGGAGAGAAACTACCACATCTTCTACGCACTTTTAGCTGGGGCAGACAGAGACCACCAAGGTGAGTTTTTCTATTTTGCTTTTATAGCAGTATAGTAATATTCCTACCACTATTCCTATCACTATTATTGTTCTTGTATGTGTATTTGTAGATATGTACCTCCTGTCCGATGGCGCTGAGGCCTACCATTACTTGAGTCAGTCAGGCTGTTTGCAGGACAGCAGCCTGGATGACAAACAGCTCTTTGACAGTGTCATGGTAAAGACTTGAGTGATGTGCTTACAGTAAAAAAAAACACTAGAGGGTGCCATTGTGCCTTTAATTATACAATGTTGACAGCTTTGGTTGGCTCTCTCAGTTTAAAGGGATATAATAGTGATAATAATGACTAACATTCATGTAGTTATCATTTGTAATGTGTTACAGGAAGCTCTAAAAGTGATGGAGTTTACGGAAGAAGAGATCAGAGATGTGTTCAAGTTGCTTTCTGCGGTTCTCCAAATGGGAAACATAGAGTTTATGACCGCAGGAGGGGCTCAGATCACAACCAATGCAGGTATTAACAATAATATTGTCTTGTCTTTCTAGTGATGGTTCTCAAACCTTTCTGTTAGGACCCTCCAGAATAATGCTTAAATAAATGTATGCCCCCGATTTGCTGAATAAAATTTCATGCAGTAACACAAGCGATGTATTTTGTGTCAAATATGGGTTAGATACAGTGAAAAGCTGTGTCGCCCCAATTTCAGATCCTTTACTCCTTTGGTTTTAAATATACATACACACTCTTCTGCTATTGTGTAGTTGATTAAGTATTTATACTGTTGTAATTTTCATACTTTTCACGATGTAGGTTTGCTGCACACTCATTATCAGTGTTTCTAACGAAACAAACTTTGTATAAAAGTTTGTTCATGTATAAAATGTACATTTTATACATGGTGTTTTTGTGCATGTATAATGAACTTAAAGCCATGTAAGAGGAGCCTTGAGGCCATTTGTTACTGGCGGTTTGGCTTGTGGAATTTATTGCCAAAAACCGCTATTTACTGAAACGGATATTTGGTTTGCTGGAGTTGGCGAGCTGTGCAGTCAGTGTGTGTCGAAGCCTGATTGACAATGCGCTCACACAGGCAAAGTGGTGAGCAGGCTGAAACTTGAGCTCTACTTTCTTTGTTGTGTCTGAACACTTTTCTGCCACAACTGATCTAAAGTAACTTCTAACCAGTTACTAATAAAGCGTGTAGAATCCCTTTCTGTGTGTCAACACTGTTGTAGGTACCTGCACTGTGTATCCATCGTGTTTGCTTAACACTCTCTAGTACAATATACTTTATTGGTGTCTTCCAGTGGTGAACAATGTGAGCGAGCTGCTCGGCTTGGATGCCTTTCAGCTGTCGGAGGTCTTGACCCAGCGCTCTATGATTCTCAGAGGAGAGGAGATCTGCTCACCGCTCACTGTAGAGCAGGTATGGAGCTGACAATGAGTAACACTTTACATTCAAGCACTTATGGATACAGAGAATCTATTTTGATAGTATTTCTGATACTGTCTCAAATTCTATGGCTTTAATCATGACTGTAAAAGAGTGTTAGTAGTCAAAGAACCAACCAACTCATTGCCATCCAAATATGTCTCTTCGGACGAGTTTAAGCAACGTTTAAAGTCACTATTGTACGACAATGTTTCAGAATAACTAATAAATAATAGTGTTCTTCTTTATACCATGATTCAGAATATCTGTTGAGATTTATAGCTACATTGTTTGTCTACATTATTTTCCTCCAACTGTTTTGCAGCATTGTTTTGCATGTCTTTCAGCTGTTAGTATTCGGTACTTGCAAGAATGGAACTAATACCTGGTAGCCGGATTAGCAAGGGGCATGTTTAGAGATTGTCAAACCAACAGTTGACAATGGTAAATTTGTCACCACTGGATTTATCCTTTTGAATTTTCTGCAAAAACTATTGAAGCCTCTCCACCGATCATTTGTCCCTTGAAACTCAACTACTCTTGAGCACAGTGGAAGTGTGTTTGCTGCCCCTATCGCTGACTGGTCTGGGTGACGCACACTCACATTCACACACACATAAATATCCCCCCCACATCCCTTGCGTGACTCTCGGCCATTTCCTGCTTTTTGTCTGAAGAATCCAGTCACAATGAAGCCATCATGATACAGATCTGAGTCAGAAAGCACAATACCGTACAGTTAGTGTGGGTGAAGTAAAAGCTCCAGCCACCGGGGGCAGCACGGACAGGCAAAAGTTTGAGAGTCACGGTTCATTCAGAAGCGCCATTATGTCAGAAGCAGCATATCTCATCACAAATAATTTAAATCTATACTAAAAAAGAAAATACAAAAATATATAAAATAATATAATATATAAAATAAATATGTTATAAAAAGGACGGACCACATCTGCTTGTTTCTGTGAAAACAAATGTTCCTTTAGCTATAATGTTCCACAATCTAACCCAAAATCTCCGTTTAGAATGTATGAATAAAGTTTAAATATTGTTGCTGTTTAAATTAAACTTTGTTATTGTAAATTTAACCCGTCAATGGGGAAACTTTTATACATTCACACTGTTTGTTTGTGGCACAGACTAAGTGATCTGCATAAACATCTGCATAAATTACAGTGAAGATGACTTACACATAAACAAGTGATCTGTTCATGAGTGGACAAAGACCTCGACCAATGGCCTTTGAAGCAGCTCATCTCTTCTCAGACCACACCATTCGTCTTGTTGGAGTCTGTAAGAATTCTTCTCCCAGTGTCAAGGGTCATCCTGTATCGCCCGCCTCCTCCACCATCGCCACAACACAAATGGCCATTCTTCTGACTCCGGTGACGGCTATCCTGGAGCCACCGGCGTTCAGTTCACACTCACTAAAGTTTCCAAGTGGTGACTGTTTAGAGTGATTGATGTCTCTGAAAACCCCAGGAGTGTTGTTGCCCCCTGTACAGTACAGTCTGCCACGCTCATGTTTTGTTCTCATGTTGAGCACAATGCTTGTTAGGAAGCAGAGCTGGCAAGCTTAAGTTTTATATATTTTTAGACACACACACAGATGGTGCTTAGTTGAAAGGCTAATGGCAGACGGTGAAATGATACCTGGGTCCAACTGGAGGATGGTTTGTTACTCTGATCAAGTAGAAGTGTGAAAATATGAGAGTCAAGTGTTTGGAAGTGTGGCAAGCCACGCTAATGCAAAGAAGCAATGTTTCTTTTTTAAATCTTGACATAGAATTCAATTATCCATCCATCCATCCATTTTCTTCCCCTTAATCCATTTCTGGGTCGGGGGGGTGGCAGTCAGAGCTGCACCCAGTACACAGAGCACCAGCCCCTCACTGATCCTCCTGCAGGTAGAATTCAATTAGATACTGATAAATAAAACAGATAATTTAAAAAATAAAAAATGTAGTCGCCAAATTGACATAAACCAGTTGGCCAATGGAGTTGAAAAAAATTAATGGAGTTGAAATAATTTAAGGAATAAAACAATATGGACAGTGTCAACCTTGGATAACAGCATGGATGTATTATATTATAGCACCTAACCCTTTATGGTTTGCTTACACATATCAAGTTTGGTTCCCCATTATTAAAGCTGGGGTACCTAACTTAAATAAAAATATTTAAGAATGCGACTTAAATAATTTGATATTCTGTCTTTATGTTATTGGAAAACATTTAGTCATATCTTCTGCCTTGTGTGTCATTATTTGACTGAAAAGTGGATCTATAATGTGACATTTTTGTTCATGGTTTCATTATTGGCGGTACCTAACCCAAGCTTTAATGAATAGGTCCATAGTAAATAGGTCCATTAGGTTAATGAAGCAGTTGTTTTTTCAGACCACTGCGAAGTATTTACCTTTATCTGGACAGCCATATTGTTTTATTGCACAGACATTTAGATCGATACCCTCTAAACTCAGGCTGGAGGCTGTGTGGGGAACATCATAGGTATGAAACGTTTCGAGTTCATTGTTGCGGGAAACAGTACCTGCAGACATATGCCGACATAACACACTCACAGAAACCACAAAAATCACTGCCACAGCTTTATCTGCCATCAAATATGTACCGTATACTTGGTATGCAGTGTTGTGGATACATGTCTCTTCTGTTTATTGTGACATTGTATCAATGGAAACAGTCATTTTGCCTTTTCTTCGCTTTTTCAGGCCGTAGACTCCCGAGACTCTGTTGCAATGGCACTTTATTCCCAGTGTTTCTCCTGGATCATCATGAAACTCAACCAAAAGATAAAAGGAAAAGAAAACTTCAAGTCCATTGGAATTCTGGACATTTTTGGATTTGAAAACTTTCAGGTACAATATAAATTAATGATACCAATATTTAAGGTACATATAAGAGTAAGACGGTAAACGTTTGCACTATCTCCTCCAGGTTAACCGGTTCGAACAGTTCAATATCAACTATGCCAATGAGAAACTTCAAGAGTATTTCAATAAGCACATTTTCTCCTTGGAGCAGCTGGAGTACAACAGGTGATGATCTGAGTTTTTTTGATAAGGTCTTTGGGTAGAAACCTATTAAATTACTATCAATGGGACGAGAGTTAGCCATAAAAGTTGCTGTGAAATCTTTCGATGGTCTTACAAATAAAATATAATGAAAATATGTGTTTGTATTTTAATAGTAAATTCCTTGAACTTGAAATTATATTCAGGCAGGAGTGTAATTTTGGTTATAATACATTTTAACACATACACTTTTTTCAATCATTCTTGGTGGTTGTGTAAAGCCATTTCCATTTTCAAATCATAATAAACAACACAACAAATTACCATTTTTCAGTCCAATAGTGTCAAAAATACTATGACAGCTTGGAGTCTTGTGGTAGTTGTGGATGAGGTTCTTTATCCTCTCTGATGGAAAAGCTGCTCATTATACCTGGATAAAAGCCTCCAGTTCCTGTAAATTCCTGGGTTGCCTTGCATAAATTGCATGTTTGTTAATAAATTTATACAATGTTATAGGTTATGCCAAGGTATGGCTTTACACAAGCGGTAACAATGAGTGGAGAATGTTTTTGTGCTGTCATATATAATTTTCAATCTCCATATGGTCAAAATAATGACTATGGCGGGGTATGCAGATTTTCAAGTACAACTGTACATATATTTTCTTGATAATTACTTTCTGTGCTGTAAGACATTCAGGATAGGAAACAGGATTTTACACTGTGTTCTTAAATAATATACAGTCTGGGTCTGCGATTGACTCAAAATAAACCAAGACTTTTTGTGTGCTGACCGATATGTCTCCTCTTGGCGAAACAGGCCGAGTGCCAGTAGTTTAGACTTCTCCCTCAGACATTTGGTGTATAATGGAGCCAACAGCATGGACATGGCTCATTTAATCACATGTTCTCTTCAGACAATTCCCCCTTTGTGTTGGGCTAGTTGTTTTTATTTATACGCCTGTGTCCTTTCTTAGGGAGGGCATTCAGTGGGAGGCCATAGACTGGATGGACAATGCAGAGTGTCTGGATCTCATCGAGAAGGTAACGCTAGCTTGGTCCCCACCGGGTCTGCACCGCGAACCGCCGACTCGAACATTCTGACCAAGACGCCCGGCACTGTTTACATTGTCATGCATTCTCCAGGCCTATCATTATGGAATTACATTTCCCATGTTGTGTGCTCTGTAATGGACACCAGCGTGTGGTTGGAAGTCGGGCATGAAGACAATTTATGTTATTTTATCAGTGGTTGTATTAAGTTTAACCTTTTGTGGAAGCGGTTTGAACTTAAATGCTTCAATTCAATCAAAACACAAACACACCAAAATATTGACTTAGTGATGTTGTGCATTACTCAACAAGAATGGTTATGAAAATGAAGACAGTTAAGTGAAATTATGGAAACAAAAACAGTTCATCTCGACAGATCCCTTGATGCATTAACACACAGAGACACTCTCGCTTCTCATCAAGAATGTCCTGGGTTTGAATTCCAATTGGAACGGGGCCTTTCTCAGTGCAGTTTGCATGTTCTCCCTGTGTCTGCGTAGGTTGCCTCCAGGTGCTCCAGTTTCCCCTACCACTAAAAACATTCACACTAGTTTTGTGTCTAACAAGTGAGTGAGAGGATGGTGTTTGGTCAGATGTTTTGATGAGTGTGTTCACTCTATTGTCATCACTGTGTGTGGAGTGAATGAAACAATATCTGGACTCTGAAAAAGCACTTTGTTGGACCAAAGTCACTATATGTACTATATATTTAAAGTAGGGCTGTCAAACGATAATTTTTTTTAATCGAGTTAATTACAGATTAAAAATTAATTAATTGTAATTAATCGCATTTCAAACTATTGGCAAAATTATGCCATATTTTTCTGTAAATGGTTGTTTGAATGGAAAGATAAATGACAGCTTAGTGAACATATGTACTGTATTTGTTTGTTATAACAATAAATCCATATAAAATGGAATTAACATTATTAACATTCTGTCTTTCTGTTTAGACTCAGACCAAAACTATTGTTTGTTACAGATGAGGGACATTTCAAAATAGTCTGAAGCAGAATGTCATTAAATCTGTTTGATTTGCTCACACCATTACTTTTTTTGGCACAACTAAACATGAACTGGTAGTCGAAAGGAAAATTAGGTACCTCGGCTTTAATTTAGTGAGTGCGCTTAGGGAGAAGACACGGAGGAGACTGAGGCTCCGCAGTCCAGCTTCAGCGCTGTACATGTTGTGTGCAAAGACACGTACGCACACTAGAGAATAGTTCTGTAATAGTTCTGTGAGTGGTCTTGGATATGATCCCATTACGCAGCGCTGTGGCGCCCGCAGCTCATTATGCAGAGCTCATACAGGAAACAACAAGTGCCCCGCGGTCACGCGTGTATTCTTTCAAAACTTGAATTCCCAGAGGAATCTCTGCTCTGTCCCCGTCTTACACACGTGCATGTGTCCGCGGCATTGTGAGTGTTATTATGGGATGCATGGGCATGCGTCAAATGCGTTAATTTTTTTAACGCGATTAATGAAAAAAATTAATTAACGTGCGTTAACGCGATAATTTTGACAGCCCTAATTTAAAGATTACTTACTTACTCACTTAAAGGCTATGTCTTTAATAACTCAAGAGGAAAAGGGACATAAATGGGTAACATTATACTGTAGATCTCTCTAATGTTTACTATACTTGATAGTGGAAATCCAAGAACAGGTGGATATGAATTACCACTACATACATACATACTCATGACACCTGACTGAAGTTGTAGTTCAGTTCTACAGTCACACTATTTTTCACTTTTTTCTTTTCTAAAGTGTAAGACATATTTGTTCTTGCATATTGATGATATGGAACTGCTACAAAGGATTGATTTGGGAGATGGTCCTGGCCTCTAAACATCCTAAGTTAGACATAAAAATGATATTGAAGCCACCCTGGCGTGACTCGGGAAATAAGATCCATCCAAAAACAGCACCTCCTTTTGTTTTAGAGCTTTTGTTGTGTGACCACAGACAGGATCATGATGTTAGTGCTATTGTTGTCATCAATGGAGCCAGATGTTCCTCAATGTGTTTGTAACTAGTTTGGTCATGACTGTGGTGAGTTCCTGCTAATGCGTCCCTTCTCTGTGTCCTTTTTAGAAACTGGGCATGTTGGCGCTTATTAATGAGGAGAGCCGCTTCCCCAAAGGCACCGACTACACCCTTCTGGAGAAACTGCACAGCCGACACGCAGTGGGTCTACAAGCACATGTGCCTTCATCAAGTTTCCACTCACTAGAACCCACGAAATTATATTCGATAAAATACAAGATATTATTGAGAGAAAACTCTTTGATAAACCCTTGCTGATCTAAAATAAGTATTTGATTGAGACACAAACTGGTGTGTTTCATCACATAATGCATAAGTCACGTACCACATTTCTACATTGCCATAGTGTGTCTGGTTTACAATCTAACCTCGTTCCTCTACACTGTATTTTAGTCTAAGATTTCTAAGGGTCACACCCTGAAATATACACATGTTAGCCATGTCTCAACCCTCATTTCAGTCTGTAACCAAAATGTCTGATATGGATGTTATCGCTAATGGTAGAAATTCAAAATTGCTGTCATTGCTAAACACACCTTTGTTGAATGTAATCAGACAACATCTTACTTTAATGATTTGTTTTTCACACATGTTCAACTGCAGCTGCTCAAGTTATTTTCCAAACCGCAATTAAACACGCCATGTTTCCTGCTTTTGAATCATGTTACGAAACCAAAACAAAGCAATGAAACTCGTTTGGTTAAACAAAATGAGAGGGTATAGTTTAAAGGCCTCCAAATAAGTACATTTGTAAATACATCTGCTCTTAAATGCATCTGCTGGGTGTGTCTCATTATAATCTGATATATATGGTTAGGGCTGGGCAATAAATCGAATTTAGGCAATTAATTGGCTTTTGAAAAAATCGAATTTGTGAAAAATGTTAAAATCATGAAATTGAATGAAGGATATTGTAAGAGTTCCAGCAGCACAAGAATTATACTTGCAATATCAGCACAGTCTGTACAAGACTTCTATAATACGTATTGGGGAAAACAAATTAAGAATTAGTTTTGAAACTTGAATATTGGGCGGAAAGATCAAAACATATTTTTGAGGGCATAGTCTTGTCTTCGGTTACTTTAATGAAAAGAGATTTTACTTTTTGCCATATCGCCAGCCCTATATATGGTTACATGCCAGTGTATACAGAGTAGAAATGGTTCTACCCAGGTACTCCAAAGAAATGTCACACCACGAGATATGCGTCTTGATCAATCGATTTACAAAGTCTATAGATATATTCTTTTTAGCATCTCAAATCTTCCTCCATTCATCTGTTGCTGTTTTAATCTCCAACTACATGTCAGAAACATGCTAAACCAGTTGCTAAGCCTCTCTTCTGCACGGCACACATGTAAAACTTCCAGACCGACTTAAGACCTATGCATACCCTATACAACTTGTGCCAAAGTCCCCTAAGTCCTCTGAAAGAAAAGCCTTTAGAGCAGTAGACAGCCTGGACGAGCTAAATCCTGTACTTTTGTGAACTATACTCGCTGGTGTTACCTTAACAGACTGCGGGGCCCTGGGCCACGCCCCTGGAGTGCTCTCACATGCAATCACTACAATAGTGAAATGTGATCGGCCATTCTTCAGCCTGATGAGCTTTGTGGACTGGAGAAAGAAGGTGCTCAGAAAACCAGACAGGGCCATGACTGACAGAAACAGGAGCGTTTTAAAGGGACACACAAGAGCTACTTGACCTTTAAGTGTCTGGGAGCTGTGTGTGGTTCAATGACAGATTTACACAGGAAAATGTACATGCCAACGATGTAACACAATCCTTCTTTTGAATGATAGAAAACACATTAGTAATTGAGTTGTTTTTTTCCAATTTTGTTTCACTTTATATTGGAGATTTTAAACTGGGTCATTCCAGAATTATTCCTAGATTGTGATAATAGTCCATAATCGATCTTCACCTGTTTGAATCCTATGACCACCATGACAATTTCACATGCTGCAACCTTTGGATAAGCTAACCCTTTAAGAGTTGGTGTTTCAATGGTGTGCTTGAAACTTGATAAGAAATAGAAGACTACTAAAATTATCAGAAATAAATAAAAGAAACGGTTGTAAGGAAAGATTTAGGAATATGTTTGTGTCTCGCTTTGTGGCTGTATTGGAAGTGCATCCCACTACTTTGATGCCTCAAGGGTTAATAATATGATGAAACCATGGATGTTTACAAGAATTCACCATTGTAAAACTGTTCTTGCCACGAGTCACAATCCACCCAATTAAGCACTTAAAATAAACTACATTTGTCTAACAAACAACACCTCTTATTTTCACAGGCGAACCATTACTATGTGAAACCAAGGGTGACCGATCACCAGTTTGGGATAAAACACTACGCTGGAGAGGTAATTATCACTCCCTAAACTCAAAGTGCTGTAGGTTAAAAGAAGTCTTTTGGCTCTCCAGTCATATCTTCTTTGCCAAAGCAGGATGTTGACTCTGCAAATCCACAATCTTTTTGCGTGGAGCAGAGTAAACTTGGATTGGCTTACTTGATGAAAGATATTTGAAATGCGGTAGCAGAGGGTACCGTGGAGTCTAGGAAGTACTGCTTTTGGGGAACCTTTATCAGTCTTTATCAGCAATATTTTTGTTTTTCAAACAAATGCCATCGGCACTGTTACTATTGTTAAGTATTTCATGCATTTGAAATTACTTCAATTGAGGATCTTCATTTCAGTTGATTATTTACACAATGAACATCAACAACAACATGAACAAGTTTTTCTCTTTTTTATTTTTTTTATTTTAAACCACAAAAAATGACTATCCAATTAAATGCATTTAACTAGTTCCATGTCTTAATTCAGTTTAGTTCTATCACCAGTTTGCATGTATTATAGGGCTTTGTCCCTCAATCACAATCAGCTCTTAATCCAGAGGGTCAAACATTAACCTGTTTCTTACTAGATACAGCCAGCATATTGTGGTCTGATTTGTTTACAAAATGTTGCTTTTACAATACTCTTTGTGTTGGGCTAAACAACATGTATTATGAACCCAAAATGTCTTTACTGGACAAGAGAGAAGCATGTTTGCATCAAAGTGTCTCAGCTCGCAACACTCTGGCTTTGCACTCACTAGAAAACACCCAAACTAAATAGTAGTATCATATACATTATTCAAATGTCTAATCTGGTGAATTCATAAACATATAGTGCTTAATACAGTTCACCAAATGCGGTCTGTAGAAAGCATTTTTATGTTGTTGCGCTTTTATTGACCGTAGCTGTGTGATGTACAGTACTGCAGTGCATGGGGAAAGTTGCTGACAGCGGCCAAAGTAGAAGTAGATTAGCCGTTGATAAAGAATGGCTTTAAGAGGGCTGCCTCAGACAAGGTCCCTTCAGTTCGACCCAGGCCAGTGCAGTCACAAGCCTGGCATGGATGTCGTCTATGGTAATGACTTGGTGCAGAGAACACAGGCGGCCCGGCCAGTTGTTCCTCCTGTCTCAATCCTTCGCTCAAAGCCTCTTCTGTTATCTCAAACGCCCGTGACTTCAGCAGGGCAAATTTTCTCCTCCCAAAGATTTGATTATTATCCTGCTGTTGCCAGTGAAATACTGTTTTAATTTGCAGCTATGCTTTACAGCAAACAAAGAAGCTTATCTCTTGTTTAAAATATGACTGCAATAAAAATGTCTCAATGTTTTAGTGATTTTACAAAGGGAGGAAAATGTTGAAAGTGTTTTTACCTTCATGGTGTATAGAAGGTTACGCTTAAGTGTAAACACCCAATGACTTATAGTCTTGTTATATCACACCCCTAAACATGTGGTCTACTAGAATATATATTTATTCCTGGCCTTAAGGCTAAAGGAGAGGTTAAAGAAATGGTTAGATCCTTATCTTTTTCTCATACAGAGGCCAAGTGTTAAACTGATTAAACCACTTGTGACACACTCCTAATTTTAACCTCAGAAGTTCATAAATAGACTGTGTGAGGTCTTGCTGTATATTCTAAAGAAAAAATGCACAATTGATTATTTGTGTCAGGGATTCCAACGCTAAAGTTCTTAGTATTTGCATTGTATAGTTTGAAAGGATATGTATTGTCAAGTATGAAACTGCCTGCCATGCATTTCTGCTTCTTTTCTTAATCAAATACAATGTATGCAGAAACATTTATATCATCCGGGTTAATAATGTAATAATTAGCCCACCTTCTCAATCATGACTTGAATGTAGGTGTTTTTATTGTTGCTAATGTGCTGCCCTTTTCAAACACTGAAGCTTTTTCCCTGAATGCAGGACAATAAAGACTAATGCATGAAACCAATTTAAAATTTTGGTCGGCTATTGAACAGGGAACATGATTTACATTTGCATGTTTTTGAAAGCACTTTTTGTCTCTTCAGGTTCTTTATGATGTGCGGGGAATATTGGAGAAGAACAGAGATACTTTCAGAGATGACATATTGTTTATCCTCAAAGACAGCAGGTATAAATGCTCTGTACAATCACACAAACCTGGGGTAACATACCATATCCAGCTTAATCCAGTCCTCTGTGTTGAACCTGCTTTTGGTCACTTGCAGACTGGACTTTATCTATGATCTGTTTGAGCGCGTGGGGAGCAGAAGTGGAGACGAGACCCTGAAGATGGGAACGGCACGACGCAAGCCCACCGTCAGCTCTCAGTTTAGGGTACGTCTATATTCAGACACCCAAATGTCATTTTCAGTTTCTCAGGAAACGGACAAAGGGGAAATTGTCCTTCACACTGCATGCATTGAATTCGTAACATTCAACTCTTAATCATGACACTCAAAGTCAGTTTGGGGGCAGTGTAGAAAGATGGAAATGATGAGATGGACAAAGCCGTGCGCGTGATGTGTGCCTGCAATGCTGCAGTTATGTGGTTGTGAGTGGTGCTGCGGAGTGAAAGAGAAGGGAGGATTTGGCAAGGTGCCCTGGCCTACAGCTCCCAAAGCCAGAGGATTAGGGTTGATGGCTGGGCAGAAAGGGGCCAACCAGGGGCCAATCATGCTCGGTTCTGCCAGGCCAGGCCTTCATGGAGACAGACTGTCTGAGGCGGGGGGCGGACAAAGCCGTTTGGGAGAGCTCAAGGGTCCTTCGCTCCGTGAATGCAAAGTTTGAAACAACCCATTTCCTTATAGTTTACATTTAAAATATTTCAAAAATAAAATTGTTTTTTAACATAAAACCAATATTAGCGACATAGGTTTATGCAATTTTACGGTTGCTGTAGAAAATAAAGACATCCATTGAAAAAGTTATCCACTAACCACCAGTAATATTGCACATGCTTTTGAGAATTGTCTTTCATTGCCAAACCACTGCTATTTTAGCTACCAAAGTCATCCTATTATTGTTTTTGCTAATTGTCTGGTGCAAGTATGTGTACTGTAATCAACTATTGCTATTATTAATTTGTCTCATTGTCTTTATTTTCTTTCTTTATTCCCCAGTAGATTGTTTGTTTGAGTTATTTCATTTATATCAGTAAGTTGATTTCAGAAAAGAAAAATAGAGCTTGGTATTCAGTTCTTTTGCCAGGCTGCCAAAGCTTCCCATTACACAATCTATCCATCTCCATTCATTTCTAATCTCACATGAATGTTTGCACTTATCCTCATATTTGTCTGTTACAGGATTCCCTCCACTCACTGATGGCCACACTAAGTGCCTCCAATCCCTTCTTCGTGCGCTGCATCAAACCGAACATGGACAAGGTAGGTCATGCAAATTCAGGATCCCTGCCAGCCCTGTCAAGGTCAACCCCCCAAAGCTACCCCTGCTCCAGGCTATTCATAGAAGCCTCTCCTTCGATACATTTTAGTCTTGTTGTTTCTATCTCGGTGTGACTTTCCAAACAAGCCTGGCACATTGCAGGGTATTTTATGGTGAACCGATAGACCCAAAACTTTACACATAATTAGTCATTGTCAAAAATGTTAGTCTCCTTGTGTTTGGGACATAGAAAGCTCTGTGTACTAGTGCATTCCTCGCTCTTTAGCCTCTACACTGAGGGGGTCAATGGTCATGGCAGGTCAGGCTCATACTTGGCTGATCTCACTGCATCAGAGGAATGTCAATGATAAGAACTCCTGCTATTAATCGTTTGGTCCTGTACTTTATAAAGTTTTGTGTTACCTGTGTCTTGTATTTTTAACAAAAACAGAATATGTATGTAGAAGCATATTTTAAATGGGATTGACACTAATGTTGCTGCTGATAAGAAGGTAATATATCCCAGCGTGTGGCACAGTGGTTAGCATTTGTGCTTCAGCAAGAAGGTCTTGGGTTTGATTCCTGAGCAGACAGGGCCTTTCTGTAGGATTTTGCATGTCCTCCCCTTGTCTCGAATAGGTTTCCTCCGGGTGCTCCAGTTTCCACTACTGCTAAAAACATGTTCAAAGTGAATGAGTGTGTGTTTGTGAGTGCGACAACTGGTGGAAATTAGCCCAATGCTGTTCATTAATGTCCCATTCAAATGAACCAAAACAATTTGTAGCTACATGACCCTACAAAGAGATACAAACAGGATTTATTTGGTATTTTGCCACCAAAGTTTGGTTTTAATCAAATGCCTTTGACAATGAGTCCATCCGGACAATTAATTAAACATAACCTCAAAAGGAGGAGCAATCATCAAGTAAACAATAACCTACACTTTGTTTCCAAGTCAATCTGTAAACAATTATGCAAGTATTTCTGACAGTTGTATTTCAAAACGTTTTAGAAAATGTTTGACTTTAAATCTTTTAAATCAGTTGCAACTGTCCAAATTATACAATTCTGTCCTATCCATACTTCTCTGTTCTCTCCCTGGAAACCTCTTTCTTGGCTGGCATTGTCTGTTGGCACTGGCTGAGATTTTTTCACCTGGCTTCGGAGGGTTCAAATGGAACAAGCTCGGCCTTGCTAATCCTTCAGAATGACAGGACTGCAGACCCAATCCCCTGACATAATTGCTCCCATGCAAACAGACTTTCTGTACAATATATTTATCCCATTTGCACGCACACATTCTCTTTGGTGGGCGGCGGAGGGAGCGCCACAAGCAGCTCTACATGTTTCTTTGCCTGGTAGAATGAGCTTGTAATTAAAGTGGCGTGCTGCGTTTCACAGCTAGGCTTATCCCACTCCATGTACCCACTGGGAGATTTGAAATAGAGGTGAAGCGTGAATAGATACCTATTTGACTAACCATCCATCCATCCATTTTCTTCCCCTTAATCCATTTCTGGGTCGGGGGGTGGCAGTCAGAGCTGCTCCCAGCACACATAGCACCAAGCACTGCCTATTCGACTAATTCACTGAAATACATTTATGGCACTTTCTTCTATTGAGTAGTGTAGGAAGATTAGATTAGCCAATATCTGCATAATGTGATAATTGTATGAGTGCAACTGAATGTTTGCAGACATAGTAACTATCTTTTCAAATATCAGCAGTAACAGAAATACTAGTCTTATTGGTGTAGATCATGGTTTATTTTAAGAGTCAGTTTACTTGTTTATTGATTCAGATTCAGATTCATTTTATTTGCCATTTGCAGTAAAAAAAACCCACATTGGAATACATTAGCAAAAAGTCTCCAGTGTGCACAGACAAATACAGACATAAAACAACATTAAAAGACAAAAATAAAACAAATAAAACGGTAAACAAATGTCACAAATCGATCGACTAAAACAGTTTCAAAACAAGTGCAAATCATTAAAGTGCTCTGTTCACACTGATAACAGCTTGTGGATAAAAACTGTTAGCGTAACGAGATGTCCTGCATCTCAGAGAGCGATATCTTCTGCCAGAGGGAAGAAGCTGGAACATGGCTTTCCCAGGGTGGCCAGAAGAGTCATTGACAATCCTAAGAGCTTTGTTTAAAAGTCTGGATTTATAAAGAACCTCCAGAACAGGAAGCTTGATATTGAAACAGTATTTTCTACAGTTAAAATGTCAAATTTAAGAACAATCTGAAAGCGTTTTTCAAAACTGACATACATTAGACCTTGCTATGGATTTCAATATATGTTGGTTTCAGCAAATATTGACCTGAGAAAAAACCTTGTATATCAGCTTCAGTCTTAAAAGAAAAAAAAAAACATCCAAACAAATTAATAATAAAACAGCCCATTTCTTCTATGTTTTGTGGTTTGCGCCATTCAGCTCCAGGGCAGCTGTGGCTGTTTGAGTATGGATTTTGAGTTGCTCTCTTCTGAATGACAGGGTGCAGGAGGCGCGGACAATAGCAGTGATTAGAAGTGAAAGGCGCCTCTTACACAACAGTCTTCATGTTTCCCTTTATGCGTGTGCTTCGGGTGTAGGTGTAAGGCGATCGCTCATTTCAGTGGCCCGTGAACTCTAAGACCTGCAGGCCAGCGCTCCTCCAGGGGTTAAGTTCAGGTGATTCATAATACTCATTCTTATGCGCTGCTCTTTCCTACAGAAACCCAATAAGTTTGACCCAGACGTGGTGCTGAACCAGCTGCGGTACTCTGGGATGTTGGAGACGGTGAAGATCCGGAGGGCTGGCTTCCCCGTCAGGAGGACCTTCATGGACTTCAACAGCCGGTCAGCACATTGCAAAAGTTAACACAGTATGAAATAGTATCCCCAGCTACATGTCTGGTTGGGTGTAGAATAGGCACTGATGGGATTGTCTCTCACTGTCACTGCTGCACTCACATAATACAGCACTATTGTTACCACTTGTTTGTTTGGCCATTTTTCAAATATTACAAATGATAACACAGACACTTATTGTTGCTCAATGAAGCCATTTATTGTCAAATTAAGTCTTCTATGTTTAAATTATAAGGACAATAGAAAATACTCAGATGACTGTGGGATCCTCTTCTGGTAGTTGTGGAGGAGATTCTATATCCTCTCTGATGGTAAAGCTGCCCATTCTTTTTGGCCAAAAAATCTCCAGTTCTTGTAATTTCTTAGGCTGCCATGTATGACATGCACGTTTGAGATGTACCCAGATTGGCTCAATGATGTTATACATCGAAAATAGAAAACATATTTATTTATAGCTTCACACACAATGACTATGTTCATAAAGATTTCAACATCTCTGGCTGTGTGTGTACAAGGCAGAGCTGAATGTACTGGGGACATCAGTATATACAACTGAATAATTAATCAATTTTTATATTTTTTTTATGATGATTATCTTCATTTTTGGAAAGAAATGTCCAAACGACACAAAATCTGGTATACATCCTGATGAATCTTGTCTGTTATGTCAGAGCGCTCTTGGGACAGGTCAAGTACTTTGTGTATTGTGAGATTCCATTTGTTCCTTTCTCTTGGAAATGGAATGTCCAGTACGCCTGGTGCATCCAAAACATGAGGAAGGAAAGCTCCAGAGCTTCTTTTCAGCTTCTTTTCCTGATTGAAAAGAGAATTCAGACATTAGGACAAAAACACTGGGGCTAAAAGGTCACTTCACTCACCTCTCAAAAGAGAACTATAAGAACTGTGTTTGTGTGGCAGGTACAAGATGCTTTTGAAGAATAAAGTGGTTCCCAGTGATGAGAAGCAGTGCTGTTTAGAGATCTTAAATCTTCACGATCCAACCAAGAAGGAATTTCATCTTGGAAAGTCAAAGGTAAATAATACAGTGCAACACTCATTGATCAGTAAAGTGTCACAGTTTCATGGGTGAAATGGGTCCGAAATATCCTTATAATACCTTATTCACCAACTGAAACTAAGCTCCCTGATCTATCATATAATTTTCTGCAGTGTTTAACTGTTATTTATTGAATAACAGTTAAACACTGCTGAAGTGCTATGGATTCATATCAATATACTATGTATATAGTATATGTATCTTTAAGTACCATCTACTGTACATATTTTGTCATTTACATTCAGATTGCACATAGAGCTACTCATAAACTGTTAAAATGTTCTTGGGGCACTTTGGAAAGACTCCTCCATGACTCACATCTGAAGGATTCCTTTTTTGTTTTTCTCTGGTTGTGGTCAGCCGGCCACAAAGTTAGACTGTTTCTACAAAACTTTGTCACCACCAAAGACCCTCTTACTGTAACTGTAGAGTCGACCATTATTTTGGAATTACTGTAAGCATGAGCCAGCTCGTGTAATGAAAACAATGGACTGCTGATGGACAGATAACACAGAAATACCTATTCTCCTCTGGTCCCATTACTTTACTTTTCAATAATGATCAACTGCCACACTCAATAGCTATCTGTCTTTCACTGCCTTCTTCTTCAATGATTAACTTTTAATGGCTTATTTGGCCTGGATTCTTAGGCACCAAAGGCCTTACGTTTTATGAAGTGACGACAATGAGGAGAGATATCCACCTGGCAACTGAAAGTATTGTATCGAAGTACTGGCATTCATATGAATTATTTTCAAAGAACATATTCATATATTTTAGTTGTACTGTTAGTGCTAAAATGACAACTTAGTTATTACTAAAATTCCAAATTACCACTGAGCCATCAACCCAAGAAATACAAATATTGCCAGATCTTCTACTCTTGCAAAGAGTGCTGTTTGTTTATAGCATAATAATATTTTATTGCCTAATTAAAATATATTTGAGTAATGTTTGTTTTCAACAGTTCATTAATTCATTGCTTGTTTGTTTAACTGAGCAAAAGACTTGATGTAGTTTGTCTTCACTCTTGACCATGCTGACTCAGAAGGCCTTTCACGGGGGTGTCGTTCAATCAGCTAAATCCACATTTGTCCTACCGTGTGGCACTTCCTGCTCTCAGCTGCGGTTTCATCATGAATGTAAAATCACTGAGACGTTTCAAATGCGTTGGTTCCCTTTGCATTTTTTTGCGGCGTAATATCCACACTGGGTCATGCTGACTTGGAGAATATATGAAGAGTCGAAATGTTTGATTTGAAACACATGTTCCCATATGCCCGCTATGTAACCGCGAGCACACATGCCCGAACACATTTGTGTTTCCTTTTTTCCCCCACTAAATCCTTGCTGTAGAGGAAAGGATGTAGCCTATACTTACTTTAGTCAATCATCTTAATGTAAATAATACACCCAATGCTGTTTCTGCTGCTGTTTTCACTGAGTCTAATACTTTCAGTTCTACTATTTACTTTTTACTACTACTGTTAATAGTGCACCAAAGAAATTTGACTACAACTACTATCATCACCACTCAAATGTAGTAAAACAACCCATAAACTTCTGTCCTGTCTGCGCGCTGCAACATCGACATTTCCCCACTTTGGGACGAATAAAGGAACTCTTATCTTAAACATTACAAAGTATTTAGATTTAGAAAACACAATCATTGTTGCATTTATGTAAAGACTTCACTTTATAAAGGACTGTTTTGTGGCTCAACTCTCTGCACTCTTGACTGTAAAAGTATTTCAACTTGTAGGAAGGAGGTCTGACACACAATACTCTGATTTTACAAATGTGATTGTATGAGGAGGAAATAAGTGGTCCAAATTGGGACGTGATGACGCGGTCCTCCCGTTCGCCACCGTTTGAGAGCACTTTGTTTTCTACAGACGGCGGAAGGATACGGACGAGAGGGGTGCTTCCTCTTCTCCCAGGCCCGTATTCTGCAGCTGTGGCCGCCTTTGATTAGCGCTAACATCTGGGCTGCACAACCAAAGCCGTCCCACCAATGCAGTTGATCCACCGTTTAGCTTATAAACCCAGATTCACAGACACACAGACCCCCTAAACTCCACTAATGACCAAATCTGATTATGCTCCTAAATACTCTCTCATTAATGCTAGGGTGACATATTTTTATGACTTCGAGGTGGCAGATGTTTTTGGATATCTTCATATGTCGACAATATGTGCAATGATAAATAACTCAATGAAAGCAGAAATGAGGTAATGAACAAACCACAAGAAATGCAGTGGTAAACATGGGATTGTTAAACGTTTATAAAAGGAAAATTAACAAGCAACAGCAGTGAAAAATAAGTGAGTGCGTTTGGAATCATCGCAATCAGTTTGTGAGAACATCATACAGTGCATTATTTTATTTATTATAACATAACAGCTATAAAGGGCCTCCTGTGGTCGTGTCCTTAGGCAAGACACCCATATTGCCATGTAGTACTTATGTCAGTGATTAGATAGCACTCTCGCTTCTCAGCAAGAAGGTCCTGGGATCGAATCCGGTCGGAACTGGGCCCCTCTGAGTGGAGTTTGCATGTTCTCCCCATATCTGCGTAGGTTTCCTGCAGGTGCTCTGGTTTCCCCTCCCACTAAAAACATGCACAATAGGTATGAATGGGCGTTCGATTCCACCTTTCTGAGTGGACGTTGCAAGTTCTCCCAACGTCAGCGTAGGGTTCCTCCAGGTGCTCGGGTTTCCCACAAAAAACATGCACGATAGGTCCCCTCTCTCTGGGGCCAAGACGCCGCTGAAAAAAATGAGATTCTGAAATCTCAGTGGAAATTTCTGGTTGTCAATAAATCTACCATTTCTATCAGTAAAAAATGGGGTTCCTAACTTTTGTTGTTTGTCCCAACAGAACAGGTCTTGTAAATAGAATATTTTGTTCCCAGATCACAACATGTTGTCTTCATCTTATTAGAAAATGTTATGTTATGTCATGCTTGTCAGAAAAAAACCCTGTGAGTCACTATTTCACTCTTTGGGCTCTGAGCTGGGAGACAGTGGTCCGCTATTTTTCCCTTTTCTGTCTGATAAAGATGAACTAAAGATGTAACAAAGGCCAAAAACGCATTTTAAAACTAATGATAGAACCAAACTGTTATGAGAGTGAAGAACTTGGTGGATTTTACAACAAAGTTCAATGTATTCGTGGTTTCAAAGTTAGGGACGCCACTTTTTCCATTGTTCAAAGACTTGATCAAACTTATCAGGAGTCAGGAAGGAGTTAACAAAGTTCTTTATCCCCCTGCAAGAACACAATGGGTGTGGTCTTGTATCTGGATGCCTGCCACCATCCCTCCCCCTCACCCCTCCTTCCCCCCCCTCTCTCTCTCTCCTTCTCTCCTCGGTCTGTTTCCTATCTGCCTGTGCACGCCAGTCCTGCTCCAATGCAGCCATCGCAGCACACAGGAGAAAACGCAGAGCAGCGATGATACTTTGCAGTGTTCAGGCTCCTGCTTCACTGTTTGCATAACTCATAGGAGAAGTTTTACAACATCTTCTCTTGCAGGTTTTTCTCAAGGAGGTCCTGGAGCAAACGCTGGAGAAGGAGAGGGAGGAGGTGCGGCGCAGGGCTGGCATGGTGATTCGTGCCCACATCCTCAGCTATGTGGCAAGGTGAGTGCCCTGTGTGTGTATGTGTGTGGAGCAGAGAGGCGGTGACAGTTGCCAGTTTGTTTAGGGATATAGGGTCGGTGCTTGGCCATGCCTCCCCACACGTGTTTACCTTTGCGCCTGTCAGCACATTTGCGTTGCATGGATTAGTCTGCAGTGTGCCGCTGGAATGGATGTAATACTGATTGACTGGACTGCTGAGGCTTTCCTGAGCGGAATTCTGATTACATGCTGTCAAGAGGTAGCGGGGGTACTTCCAACTACTTATTATAGTACTGTGAATGCGATAAAAAGGTTGTCTATTTTAGCATAACAGTTAGGTGTGTTATCTTTTACTGTTGTTAACAAAGATAATGAAATTAAATGTTTAAGGCTGCTATGTAAGTTTCTCATGGAAGATCCATCAACTATCCAACTCCATAGAGATGAAATTTCTTTTCCTGGAAAGTTTCACAGCATGGCATCAAATTTCCTATCTCTGTGGAATCAAGCCAAGCAAGTGACACAACAATTTATAATTTGATCTCTAAAACAGATTGTGGTATATATTCGTATACTGGTTATGAAAGGTTCCTGGATATGTTTTTGTATATATTGCAATCATTGGTTGTTTTGTGTAAAGAGCTGGCACTGCTCTGTCTGCTGGTGTGTCAACTGTAAGCTGCATCTCTGCTGGCCCTGGTCCAAAGCTTCATGAAAATAGGCTTTCTCTCTCTTGGTGCTAAAAGTATAAAAGTTACTCTCAAAATCTTGAGAAGTCAAAGTGACACAAACCCAACACATGCCCTGAAGAAGGCCCTGGGTCTGAAACACTTTGCCAAATCCCTGTTCATTAAATGATGTTTATTTTATTGTCAAGAGTGTCTTGGATTTTTCCTCCTTTCTACACAAAATGTGTTGAATTGAGTAACAAAGTTGTAGCGTGTTATAGCTTGTGCTTGTGGTTATTGTTACCTTGTTATAAACGGGAAAATGAGTGAACGAATAGTTTTGCAGAAATCGAGCCTCGCAATGAGAAGGTCATGGGTTTGATTCCTGCATGGGGATTTTCTGTGTAGCACTTGAATTGATTCACATCAATTGGTGTCTTACATTTTCCTGACCTCTGAAAACAGGTGGTTCAGTGTAGTGAGATTTTCACATCACATTTTATAAATATTTGGGGGAAAATGCACCAAAGTTTACCAAGCATTGGCTCTTGTGCAAAAGTGATTAGCACCTCTCAATATTAGAGAAAACTGATCTATCATGCACATTTCATTTGAAAGAAAAATTGCTGTAATTGCACTTGCTATTTTACTGACCTGGATTGATAAATGAGGATCGTATCTGTTTAAGTGAACTCTGTTTTACTTGTTCACAGTTCTGGTTCACTTTGGGGCTAATTGTTGTCATTTCTTGTTATTTGTGATGTTGTGAAATCACCAAACGAACACTGGTCCACGTGTCTCCTCAGGCAGTTCACTTATTTTGAAACAGATCTGGGACTTTATGAGGACACTGCATTTGCTCCTGCAGTAAACAGAGTCCAGTTGACCAATAACTTTAACTCTTGTGTCTTAGGTCAGTTATTTTGTATCAAAATTATTTATATTGGCTCAATGCCACAATGTGGAGAGAGGCAACTCTTCAGAACTTTACTTTACTTTTTACAAAGTCAGAAGTTTAGTCATACACGGTGAGAAAAAAAGTCTTTTTACAGTGTTTAAACTTCCAGTATCCACAATACTCCAGTCAGAAAAAAAGTTAAGCTACATTTTGAATGGTCTCAATGAACAATTATTACTTTAAACAATAGACTTTGTGAAGAGTCTCCCACAGAACAAGCAGAGAAGAATTCAGATGCATTTTATATATCAAATATCTTAAGTTATTGGCATAATAATCACTCCACCTCACTGTAGTTTCCCCACCTCAGTCACAGCCACTTCTCCCTTGTATCCAGTCTAATTGTATCTGGCAGTCAGTCATTGACCAGTAATGTATCCGTGTCTCACCTGCGCACCACCGCATTCGAGGTCAAAAGACGTCCTCGGAAAAAACCCCACCGGGAACGTACAATGATTCTGATGACAGAGGTCAAGTTGTAGATTCTTCGCCTTTTCCGCAGAGTCCTAAAGCCACAAGTGAAGGGAAGTCCCCCCCTCCTCTGGACACAGTTTTCATTGTGTTTTTACATGTAACAGTGTCTGCACTGAAAGTGATGGTGCTGGTCAGGTGGGGTCAGGGGTCTCGGAGCGGGTGCTTTGTGTGTGGTCTGTTTATGTGTGTGTGGGTGACGTGGCTTAGTCACAGGGATAAACACAACCGCCCACATGTGTCCGACAGTGCAACACTTCTATAGGGAACAATGTAGCAAGAGTTTGTAAAACAATGAAAACTATTGTGGTTGAATCTGGAGAGAAAATCATTTTAATGGCCAAATTATTTTCTGCCTCTTGAACTTGGACGTTAAATAAAAAGCATGTGGTTGAATGCACTTTAGATAAAAATTAGACATGGGTTTCCTTTTGTTGTTGCTGTTGATGCCAATATTTGTCTTGCAGATTAGAAAAATCACAACAAGACCCACAAATATTCTGTTCTTTAGGTAAAAAAAACATGCATCTAAAAGTATTGTTTGGACAACACCCAATTTTGCAATGTTTTTCAAAATAACTCATAACTCATAACAACGTACATTTTGGTCTCTACAACATTAGTTTTTCATGCACTTCCATGTAAAGACCTGTACAACGATTCAAAACAAATCGGATCTCTCTCGTCAGATCATCACATCAATAAAGACGTTTTTTTACCAACTCCAGATATCATAACGGGTGTGCGTCAATGTTTATACCAAAAAAGATTGTTTATTCGTATTCTGTTTTTTTTTTTATCCAGGAAACATTATAACAAGATCCGGTCCAGCGTCATCATCATCCAGAAGAACTACCGCAGCCACTTTTGGAGGCGACTCTTTCTGCGAATTCGAACTGCCGCTATTATCCTGCAGAAGCACCAGAGAGGCCACAGGGCACGGTCACTCTGCCAGCAGCTCAGAGAGGAGAAGAGGAGACGAGAGGAGGAGGAGCAGAGAAGGAGGATGGAGGAGGAGCAGAGGAAGAAGGAGGAGGAGGAGCAGCGAAGGAGAGAGGAAGAGAAGAGACTGAAGGAGGAGGAGATTCGCAGGCAGGAGGAACTCAGACGTCTGGAGGAGGAACAGAAATCCCTCAGCAGGTATAAAAAGGTTAATTTCCACTGAACAAAAAGCATAGACAGTAGATGATGTGGATGATGATCAGCGTAGGTTTCCTCCTGGTGCTCCGGTTTCTCCTACCACTAAAAACATGTACAATAGGTCTGGTATGCTCCTCCTGTACTGGCGACCTCGCTCTCATCATAGATGTGGAGTGAGAGACAAAATGCCGTATAAAAAAACTGCAATAGCAAAGCGCTTTTTGACTCTGGTCTGTGAAAGGCACTATATGAATAATGATTACTTACTTACTTGGACAGCTTGTGGCCTATCCCCATTCAAAGAGACGTTTTCTCACAAAGCTATACTAAGGAACATCCCGAGTTACCCCTTCCACAGTAAACTGCTTTTGGCCTGGGCAGCAAGTAGCACAAGCCGTGCAGCTCTATGGAAAGTTGCCATATGGGTTTTACAGTGTATTTGCATTTACAGAAATTGCAGAACCATATCAGAATGCAAAGATACAAGCCCGCCCGGCGCCCACTGGCAAAAACAAAGGTTTTTTGTCCACAAACCCCATGTTGCCTCATCCTTACACACTGGGTTGAAACAACAATTTAAAAAAAAAAAAACAGCAATAAAACCAAACTACTTTTATAGCCCGTCGCTTACATGTGGCACAGGTGAAGAAGGTGGTAAGAAAGATGTAAAACTACACTCAAATCAAACAAGGCTTGAAAGCAAACTGAAGATCCTATGACACTTTGTTTACAGTATACAATATATTAAAAGATGATAAATAATGCATTTATATACATGCCACTCAGGTGACATATTGAGAGAGAGAGGTGATGTTGATACATAATTTTGTATTTCTGGTTTTAGGGCATCTGTGATGGTGAATGGTGCTTGCGAAAAGGTACATTTTCTTAATTTTTTTTTAAACTTTTTGATCCATTTAATAGAAGCTGCAAAGAACAATAGAGAACATTAAAGAACACATTTTTACACTATTTTTAATTGTTATTTCTTGAACAACACAAAAATCCTACAATACAAAACTACATTATAAGCATGAAGGCTGATTGATTATTAGAAAACAGCTCACGCTCTTGTCCCTGTGTTGTGCTGCAGAAGGGTCCCCCTCAGAGCCACACCTCGGAGGAGGAGAGCCGGCAGATGGAGGAGATCCTGCGGCTGGAGCGTGAGATCGAGCGTCTCCAGAAGCAGCAGGAGGACGGCGTGTCGCTGCTTGGAGACGTGTCCCACGAGGAGCTCCGCCAGATCCGAGACGCTGAGATTTACCGGCTGGAGAAGGAGGCGTCCCGGGTGGCCACAGAGTTCCTGGACTTGTTGGACTTTGGTGGTCTGGAGCCTTCTTTATCCAGCGAGGAAAACCTTCATGACCCGACGGAGTCCACCGCTCCTCTGGCGGAAGAGGAGGTGGATGAGGGGTTCCACGCTGAAGAGGAATGTGTCGCGTTGCCAGATTTCCCTTCACCGGCGTCAGTCCCTCTGGATAAGGAGGTGTTCCGGAGCATCCCACCGCCCCCTCCAGCCTTTGCAGAAGGACAGCTAGCTTCATCTACGCAGGACAAACCAGTCACTTCCAATGGACGTAACCATGCTTCTAATCTTTCCACTAACCACGCTCCAGCGCCTGTTCCTGCGCTGACTAATGGACATGCAGTGGGAAAAGTCAACCAGGGGTCAGAGCCCGTGAATGGTGATGCGTCCCAGAACAACCTCCCAGACCCGGAGTCGGACTATGACCAGGAGGAGTTTGAAGAGGCTCATGGGAGTTCAGGGGCCAGCATCAATGATGGACATATCACAGATGAGGAGGTGCTGAGGAAGTCCTCCGGCACGCAACACAGTCTGGACTCGTTCAGGGGCAGCTCCGACTCGGTGAGGACTTTAATTGAGACGTGTTATGGAAAATGTATATGTTAAACACTTTTAACTGGTGGCAGCAGAGGGAGTTACAAGTTGAAAGCATTTTTCTTGACCCATCATACTTTTTTCTCCACGTATTATCACCAAGATATTAATTCATGTTAAAAAAAAACAAATAATGAACAATATTTATTCGTTAAAACATGAAATTCACACATGGCTCATGTTGGACATCACCTGTGATGTTATTATGAAGTGTTTGTGTTGGTGAAATAATAGTCTAACCCAATTGCTATTCTATGTGTGTGTATGTTACCCCTGTTAAATTGAATCTGCAATTTGTCATTCTATTATCCAAATGTTATGCACGTTAGAGATAAGTTGGATCTAAGGAATAAGTTTTATGGTTTTATATTTTACGCAACAAACCTCTACTTTATAAAGTTTCTACGCGTCATCTACGTTTGGCCATTGCTTATAATAACAGCACAAAAGCTGAGAGAATTGGTGTATGTCAGGTGCTTAGCTTTAGGCAATAGTTGGAATGGCTCAAACTATTGGAACAGCTCAAGCAGGAAGTTCTTAGCCAGCCTTATTTCTCATATTCTCTGATTGCGTGCTTCTTTTCAGTTCATTGACAGCGATGATGAGATTGATGCCTATGTGGACACAGATGAAGAGGTTTCTAATGGCAGAGTCAACCTCATGAACGGATCTGGGCCTCCGTACTTCCACGGCTACCTCTATATGAAGAGTGAGTGGTTTTCTATATCCTCTGACTTCTCATAAGGTTTTTTGTATGTATGCAAAGAGTGTGCTTTGGTCTGCCACCAGGCTCATTTGCAGGTCAGATCTGTGGAAAAACCCTGTTTACAGTCAGGTTTTGTATTTCTTTTTGCATCAGTATTTGCAAGATGTATATATGTCATGTCCTAATGTGGAACCATCCACCCTCAATGAAATAACCAACCCATGTATACAAACAGGTGATAGAATACTTTCAAAGTGAATTTATTATGTTTGTTGTTATTAGATGTATTTGCTTTTTCAAGCTGGGGTAAAAAATCCTTTCTTCTGCATGCATTTAAAATAGTGACTCACAGCAAAAGATAACATGATTTCTAAAAAGATTAAGACAGTATGTTGTGGCCTGATTTATCTTTCTGTTGGGACGAGCATGTCTTTTTTATGAGGAAGAGGGTGAGAAAGGTTGGGTACCCCTAGACACATACATAGAAAAAACACTTTCAACCACATATTGAAAAGTGCATAATGTTTGAAATGTATAACTCTCTGTATACTATTTTCACTGCATAAATTACCAAACAAAATCTGCCATAATGTATAATGAATGACTAACAAAACCCTTTCTTTACCGCGCATTCAGGCACAATTCTCATTACAGTAAAACAGCGACAGCCACAGTCCTGCATGCATGAACTGGTTTGAACTGCTTGTGCTCACATCCAAACTGCTATGGTTATCTTTGATCGACTGCAGATTTAGTCGCATAATATTTACCTCATCGTACTCTGTGTTCTGACCGACGCTCGGCCCTCCCTCAAACCACATTTGCCATTGCTTTTGTTCTCCCAGGCGGTCTGATGATCCCGTGGCGTCGCCGCTGGTGCGTGCTAAAAGATGACACCTTCATGTGGTTTCGGGCCAAACAGGACTCTCTCAAATCGGGCTGGCTCTACAAGAAAGGTGGGGGCATGTCCACTCTGTCCCGGCGAAACTGGAAAATGCGCTGGTTCGTACTGCGCGAGAACAAGCTCATATACTTTGAGAATGACAGCGAAGAGAAACAGAAAGGAACCATCGACGTCCGAGCCGCCAAGTAGGGAAATGACTTTGTTTAAATGTTGGTTATGATTGAAGAATGTGCGTTTACGTGTCATATCGATGCTTTTAGGGAAATTGTGGACAATCACGAGAAGGAAAATGCACTGAACATCGTGACGGAGGAGAGGACGTACCACATCTACGCAGAGTCTCCAGAAGATGCAAGGTATTTTTCTTCAAATCTATATTAATTGTAGATGTAAGGATTTAAGGTTGAGGTCAAGGTATACTTTATTGTCCCTGTAGGTATATTCAGAAGGATTAGGGTTAGGTTCAGGGTTAGTGGATGTAATTATGGATGAAGCTACTGAATGAGAACCAATGACATTTTCAAAAGCTTGTATTTCAGTATTTATCAAATTGATTTTACACTTTAGGCACAATAGTTATTTCAGAAATCTGATATGAAACAGACTCAAGGTGGAGCCATGAAACTGTATAAGAGATAGAAAACTACAAATAGCAGAAATAAAAATGAAAAAAATAAAAAATCTACTTTGGTACCTAAAGGATTAAAATTTTAACAAAAAAGGCTAAAATCACCTTTTCTGATGAAGGCGGAACTTGGTCCAAAGAACCACAACTTTTGTCGACAACTTTCCAAAAATCCCCCACAAACAGGGTTGGTTTAGAATGTCTATCTACTGTATATATATACCGGCACTGTGCATACATACACATACATACACATTATGAATCATATATGGATAACAAATATATATATACACACACTATAATCTAAAGTATCTTGATGTTTAATGCTACATGGACCTACTTCTTTTTGGTCTTTTCACCAACCATCCTTTTCTCATAAACATTTTCTTTGCGTTTCGCGTTTCGCCACATTATTTTCTTCCCAAGCTTACCTGCATAGTTGACTCTCCGTATGTTGACTCACTGTCCCCTCTTGTGGTTGTCCCTGATATCAGTATTTTTCTCTCTCCTCTGTCCCCTCGCTGTGGCCTGCAGTGGCTGGTTCAGTGTGCTGAGTCGTGTCCACAGTGCCACCTCAGAGCAGCTGCTGGAGATGCACCACGAACAGGCCAACCCCAAGAACGCCGTGGTGAGTACCTGCTTCCTCCCACTGCCATAAGCCCCAGACCCAGAGATCCATCTGTTACTATGTGGAAGAAGCCAGAATAATGACATGTGAAGCGACTTTGAGTGTCCAAAAAAGCGATATATAAAACCAAATTATCATCATCATTATTATTGTCTATGGATTACAAGAGTAGAAATATAGTCACAATCATTCCAGTACACGTTATGGTTTTTCATGTACAGACAACAGATGTGTAAAAGTTTTTTCGCACATTTATTTAGACTTAGACAGACTTTATTGATCCACAAGGGAAATTGCGGTGTCACAGTAGCTTGCATAAAAGCACGCATTGTTGGAGTACTCAACTTTTTTCCATTTATAATGTTTTGTCAATCCCACCAGGATGCACAATCTCACTACATGCTCTCTTCATCTTATTAGAAAAGATGTTACCTTTTGCTCATTTTTAAGAAAGAGCCCTGTGAGTCACTATTTGACACTTTTAGATCTGATTGGCTGAGTGAGTGAGTGTGGTTCTCTCTCTTTCACTTGTCTAAATAGCAGATGTGACTGAGATAAACAAAAAAATGTGTGTGCAAAAACTATAGTGATGGAACCAAACTGTTTTGAGAAATTAGTTAGATTTTTTTTTTTACATTGTGGTTAGAAAGTTATGTACCCCAGCTTTAAGTTTTGTTGATTCATTTGCTGATACATGGCAGACTGACAAACTATGAGAAGCGAAACAATTGCGGCTACAATCACCAACCAATCTCTCATTTGTAGGGTTTGTCTTATGTTTAAATAATGTTTCTCATTATAACGCTACAGGGGACTTTAGACGTGGGCTTGATTGACTCCGTGTGTGCGTCTGACAACCCTGACAGGTAAGAATTCTTTGTATTGTGTTGATTTAGTTACCATACCAACAGGAAAGTTAACAAAATGGTTTGTTTTAGACCTAATTCATTTGTGATAATCACCGCTAACCGGGTCATCCACTGCAACACGGACACCCCAGAGGAGATGCACCACTGGATCGGACTGCTGCAGAAGTCCAAGGGAGACGTCAGGAGCGATGGCCAGGAGTTTCTTGTCAGAGGTCAGCTTGGCCTTTTTTTAAATAAATCCAATTAAATTCATTGTATTCTTGTATAGCCATAAATCACAACAGTAGTTATATCGGTGCACTTGACAAAACCAACACAAATCAGAGAATAAAACAGTTGAAACACAAGAAATGCTATGATAAAAAACACATAAGGGGCAAATGACCAATGTCCATAAATGTTGTTGAGACCCAAATATTAATCTTCACATTCTCTCGATGCTCCTCCAGGTTGGCTTCATAAAGAGATGAAGTCTGGAGCCAAAAGCACCTCCCTGAAGCTCAAGAAGCGCTGGTTTGTCCTCACCACAAACTCTTTGGACTATTACAAGTCCTCTGAACGAAACGCCACCAAACTGGGAACTTTGGTCCTGAACAGCCTCTGCTCTGTGGTGCAGCCGGATGAGAAGGTCTTCAAAGACACTGGTACAGAGAAGCTGTAATGTAGTAGTTTATAAAGTGTTTACTCACAGTAACATGACGTCTTTCTGCTATTGCCTCAGGTTATTGGAACATCATTGTCCACGGACGAAAGCACTCGTACCGACTTTACACCAAAATGCTAAATGAAGCCATGCGATGGGCTAATGCCATCCAGGGAGCCATAGACAGTAAAGTTCCCATAGAAACGCCAACTCAACAACTCATCAGGGATATCAAGGTAATAAACCTCACAGATAATAAGCAGTTCCACTGATCTGATGATACAAATACAAATAAACGTTGATTGATTGATTGATTGATACTAAAGTCTGTTTATCTCATACAACAGTTCTAGTCTTTGATGTGAGCTTTTTGGGTTTTCAGTCTTCCAAACCAGGGACACAGTCTGTAGTGAAGTGAGGTACTCACCTCTGCGTGCAGTGCTGACTTCTTTTTTCAAAGTTCCTTCCTTTGTAGAACTTTCATATGTTTGACTTGTTTAACTCCTTTCATTCCTGTTGTGGAGCAGCTTCTTTCGTTCATTGACCCCTGTCTGTGTCCACAGGAGAGCAGTTTGAATGTAGAGGCTGTGGAGCAGACCTACTGGAGGAATCCCATCCTGAGATATACCCAGCATCCTTTGCACTCACCTCTTCTACCTCTGCCATATGGAGATGTCAGCGTCCACTGTGAGTTTGATCAGATTCACTCAACATTACCTTTTCTTTTTCATCACATGGTGTGGACGAGCCTGACATTCTACTTGTGTCCCATTTTGAATGTTTAACATTTTCCATTTCCAGTTTATTATTGTTAGTAATCCTTATTGTTTTTGCACTCTCTGCCTCCCAGTGCAAAAGGAAAAGGGCTACACCAGCCTGCAAGACGAAGCTGTCAAGATCTTCAACTCTCTTCAGGAGATGGAGGCCGTGTCCGACCCGGTGCCCATCATCCAGGGCATCCTGCAGACCTGTCAGGACCTGCGAGCACTGAGGGACGAGGTGTACTGTCAGCTGATCAAACAGACCAATCACGTGTCTCACCCTAACAGCCCGGCCAATCGTGCGCACTGGCACCTCCTCACCTGCATGAGCTGCACCTTCCTTCCCAGCAGAGGCATCCTGCGCTACCTCCGCTTCCACCTCAAGAGGTATGCACTGTATAATATAATAGATGTACTGTGTTTGCCACTCGCTAATAAGGAAGTGCTCATGGCCGAAGATTTTGTCCAACACGCTTTGGCTCCCCATCAGTCACATTGAAAATTTAACGCCTTGTAGTCTGTAATCGTTTCTGAGTGTCTCACTCGTAATTTTGGGCTTTGAATAGTGTGAGCAGGAACAGCCTAGCTCTGCTCCCAATGGAAATCCTCCAAAGAATTTGGCTCCAGATTCCTGCTCATAGAACCTGTTTGAGTTAGCTCTAAAGGGCTTCAGTGGGATCAGGCAAGCTCTATGGGTGACCTCCACACATCTATTGCCTTGAATCAGCGGAATAGGTTCAGATGATGTACAATGCACTGAAAGGGCCTGATTTCTATGCCAGAATTATCATCTAAAAATAACCACACTTAAAACACATTTCCTCCACATTTTCTGACAAACACTGTGTAACAAATTGTTTGCAGGATTAAGGAGCTCTTTCCTGGCACAGAGATTGAGCAGTATGCGCACTTCATCAGCGAATCCTTAAAGAGAACCAAGTCAAGGGAGTTTGTGCCCTCCCAAGAAGAAATCATCGCACTGTTGACCAGACAGGAGATGACCACCACAGTGTACTGTCATGGCGGCGGCTCCTGCAAGATCTCCATCAACTCCCATACCACGGCTGGAGAGGTATTATATTTGTACAATTAATCCTGAAGTATAGCCTCAGCAAAGATATTCTCCATTCTGCAAACTCTGAACCCTGTCTGTGGGGGCTCTCTCCCTCACAGAGACTTTGGTCTGAATTTTTGGAAAGTTGTCGACAAATGTTGACAGTCAGTGTTTGCGGTTATTTGGACTAGCTTCTGCCTTCATTAGAATATTTTTTTTGTTTGCATTTTTGTTATAATCTATGTTAACCCCTTTAAGATTAAGAGATCCTTTATTCGTCCCACAGTGGGGAATTTTCAGTGTTGCATCACAAGTTACAGTTGGAATGAGGAGCACACAGCACAAGATAAATGAATGATAAATAAAATAAAATAAAATTTCTAACTCTAGCATACAAAGAAGAAGTATACAATCTCAATCTTCAGCATAATAAGGAATGAACTCTTAAAATCCCCAACTTTAACATGATGAAGAAGCAAGACTTAAAGGAGCAGTATGTAAAAATCTGGCCAAAAGTTGTACTGCAACCTCTCCCACTCTCCCTGACTCGGGTTGCCAGATATGCAAACAAATCCAGCCGGGAACATAATATCTGAATAGACAATAGACAACAAAAAATCTATAACCAACACCTTTTTCACAAAGTTCCCATAGAAATCCTCATTTTACTCCATTAATGATTTGAATGAATAATAACAGGACCTCGGCTGAACTACTTAGAAGCTTTTGAAAACAGCATGGTCTTTCAATGCCTTTTATTGCTACTTTAAGGACAAAAACCTCTGACATTAGCATAATAAGAAGTATAAAATGCTGTATACATAGTGCAAGTAATACATAGTTGTGTTTTTACATCTGTGCATGTTAGCAGCATGAGGGTCCGGGACCAAAGTTGCCAAAGTAGAAGATTTTTCATATTTTTTCGTATACTTTTCTTCTTCTTTCTTTATATATAATTTCAGAGCTCCACCTTGTGTCTGTTTCCTAAAATTTGTGTTAAAATGGCCATTTGATTTTCCCAGGTGGTGGAGAAGCTAATCCGAGGGTTAGCCATGGAAGACAGCCGGAACATGTTTGCGTTATTTGAACACAACAACTCCATTGACAAAGCGGTGGAAAGCAGAGTCCTAGTAGCAGATGTTTTGGCCAAGTTTGAACGGTACTTTCATTTAATAACCTTTGAATAGATTGTCCGTGTTGTTTGTGATCCTAATGGGATGTTGTGTGGTGTGTTTGTTTAGACTGGCTGTCAGTGAGGAAGAGGATGCCGGTCAGTGGAAGCTATACTTCAAGCTCTACTGTTTCCTGGACGTGGAGAGCATGCCCAAAGAAGGAGTGGAGTTTGCCTTCATGTTTGAGCAGGTGAGATTTACGGAAGATATCGTTCAAAGGTTAAAAGCTCTTTTCACACTGGACCAAGCTTCATGTCTGGTTTCCATGTAAGAATCTGTCTTTTTAATCAGTTCATTTCATATTAGGGCAGAAGCAAAAAACGTGTGCGTCCATTACATATTCAGTTACAAGCATGAACAATGTATATAAAGCTCTCTTGCATTCCTGTAGTTTTTGGTTGTTTCAATTAGACGGGTCATACAAGGATACACAACTAATGTATTTTGGGAAAGATAATAATTATTTATAGAGGTGTGTGACATATTGTCCATAGCAGTGGTACCTCTGCTTTTCTTTAGGACTATTCTGGGTAAATAGGTCGAAAACCACAAGGCCTACTTAACAGAACTTTTCTTTCTTTAGTGGGGTGGCATGGTGGCTGAGTGGTTAGCCCTCTTGCTTCTCAGAAAGAAGCTCCAGATAGGGCCTTTCAGAGAGGAGTTTGCATGTTCTCCTCATGTCTGTGTAGGTTTCCTCTGGGTGCTCCAGCTTATCTAACAGAAAAGTCAAACGTACTAAGGGCAAGCATGAGGAAACAATAGACATTTAGCAAACTAGATTTCAACAATAAAACAGGAAGACAATTCATAAGTACCGACCAAAATTATTTTGGTTTCATGAATACATTTTGTCTGTCTTTCCTAAACACAACCTTCTGTAAGATTTTGTGAACAAATCAGACCACAACCTGCTGTCTTCATCTTATTAGAAAATATTTGATCCTCTACATCAGGGGTGTCAAACTTATTTTGGTTGAGGGCCGAATAAAGAATGAAGGGGCTGGTCAGCGGTCGAAAGATACGTTATACTTTTTTAATTTTATGAAAGTATCTGTATAAACTTGTTTCACATTAGTTAGATTGGACATTCTTTTCTGATTAGAATGAGTTCAGTTCCTGTGGACTGAACCAAAACTGGACCAAATATTGGTCGATTTTCTACTTCTGTGTGGATTATCAAGACTATTGGTCCTCCCAACTGTCAATCATTCTGGTGATTCGTGCTCGTCAAATAAGACCAGAGAGTTTGTTCAAAAAGTGGATTTTTTTCTTTCCTAACAAAATTGTGAAATCCTAACAAAATTGTGAAATCCTCCTTCATATCTTTAAGAGGAAATGTAATTAAAGACTCGTAAAAAACATGACATAATAATACTAACTTCTAATTACATGTTGGCTTAATATTTCTTATGAAATTACATTTTAAGGTTGTTTTCTTGAGAAAATTAGTAATGGATAACATGCCATTGTCGCCTTTAAAATAATCTAAAATCATCTCAGGGGCCACCGGAAATGATCTCGCGGGCCGGCTCTGGCCCCGTGGCCTTGACTTATGTATGCTCTACATACTGAGAGCTGATTGGCCGACTGAGGGTGGTCCTCTCTCTTTCACTTATCTGTCTGATAAAGCTGACCAAAAAATGCGACAGTGGCCAAAAGTACATGTGAAAACTATAACTCTAAGGTTTTGAGAACATTGTCCAGCATTATAGCACATTGAATATACAGTACATTGTTTGTAGTTAGGTACCCCAGCTTTAGTAACCAACACTGTGTCTGCTCCAGGCTCACGAGAGTCTGACCGGCGGCCACTTCCCGGCTCGCGAGGACTCCCTTCAGCACCTGGCCGCTCTCCGCCTGCAGTTCCTCTTTGGAGACAAGGCCAAAGCCTCCTGGAGCCTGGAGAGCGTGTACCCCGTGGGCCGCCTCCGGAGCCGCATCACGCAGTTCGCCAAGGCGGGGGGCTCCACGGGGGGCACGGCTCACACTCTAGAGAGGAGGAGGACCAGCTTCTTGGACGGGACGCTGCGCAGGGGGCTGAAGACGGGCTCCATGAAGAAGCAGCGGCTGGAGGAGGAGCAGATGCTGGAGATGTGGATCAAAGAGGAGATGTCGTCCACGCGGGCCAGCATCACGGACAAGTGGAGCCGTCTGAGTGGGCTGGACCAGCACCAGGCCATGCTCAAGTACATGACCGTCATCAAGGAGTGGACCGGCTACGGATCCACGCTGTTCGATGTGGAGGTGCGGATTTTTACACTCGCAGGCTTTCTCCAGATTCATGACCAAAAACACTACACCTTTTCAAATTGGTTTCATACATATTTATAAAGTTTCATAAATGTTTCCAAATAAATGCACAGAAATAAGCAGTCAAATAAAAGAAGCAAACCAGTAGATAAAACAAAGATTGAATCAAATGAGTTATTTTCCTGATTTTCTGAAATGAAAGGATGTTACTTCCTAGTTTGCCGGACATGAGACGAAGGCAGAAATATGAAACAAATGTTGAGCGTGTGTCCAGATGAGCTGCGAGGTTCTGTTGTGTTCTGATTAGAAAAAAACAACAGCGAGGTGCATTCAGAACCCGTTTTAAAGCTGAAGCTTCCAGAACTTGAGCACTGGCAGACCATACACATAATTGGCACAACAGCGCCGCCTATTGGTAGGGCAATGACACTACTATACACACCAGTCATTTCAATCATCAATAACTAATGATACAAAGTACTCTCGGATTAAACGCCACAGACTTATTTTGAGTAATTCAGGGTTTCTTCCTTCGTATTTTTCTAATACTAGTCAAACTGATACTGATAGATTCTGTCCCACTAAACAAAGTCACCAGTGTGAGAAAAAGATGGATTTTACTATTTACTACGTTATATGGTTTTGCCTCCAGTGTGTATACTTTAGATAAGCCTTTATTCTTTCCAGGGGCTCAAATATATGCATGAATAGATACAGAAAAAGTTATATTTACAGTATAAACTTGTGATTATGTGAAAAGGAGGATTATTATGGGCCTACTACCAACTCCAGGGGCCCGAAACCTCCCTCATGTTTTAGCAAAATACATGAAAGGGCAGTTCCCACAGCGTCACATGACCTCTAAATCTCTAAATGATGTTTTAAGATCTGACTTGATTTTTTAGAATTTATCATGTCCCCTTTAACTTTGATAACGATGGCGTCATCCGTGTGTTGTTGACGTGGTTATGATTCTTTCGTGGTGATTCCAGTGTAAAGAAGGCGGCTTCCCTCACGACTTGTGGCTGAGCGTGAGTGCGGAGAACGTGTCCGTGTACAAACGTGGCGAGCCCAAACCTCTGGAGACCTTCCCCTACGAGCACATCGTGTTCTTCGGCGCTCCGCAGCCCTGCACCTACAAGATCACCGTGGACGAGAGGGAGATGCTCTTCGAGACGCCTCAGGTAACAGCTCAGCCGCTTCAAAATCATGCCACTTTTAGTTTAATTCTACATAATATATCGTGCACATGTCCTGTTTGCAAATTTCCTGTCTTTTGCACAACCCGAGTGATCTTAACTTTTCTCCATTGTGAGATCACTAAAGTCTATCTTATCTTATGGATTTAAAGGTTTTCAGTTAGACTTTAGACAAGGCTTTATACTTCCTTACATTGTGAAAGTATTGAGATCAAAATTAGTTCAATTATGTTTGGACAAGGACAAGAAGGATTGTAGATATTATTCATTGCTTTTTGGGTTTAACGTTTAAAATAAATATGAAATTTCAGTATATGCTTCCGAATGATGCAAATATTCTATGGGAGCCCAAGCCCTTAAGTTAAAACATTGTATGAAATAATTATTACAATAATAAACACATGTCGGACGCCTTTGTGTTGTGTTTTTATGTTTCACTATTTGTTTTATTTAGTTTTTAACCCTAAACTGTGAGAAATATTCTTCAAATAATACTTTACTGTAATAATTTTTGTTTTGTAAAGGTTCTGCCCTTGTTTAAATAAAGTTTAAGTTACCAATTCAAACAATCCACAGGTAGTCCACAGGTGGGACATGTACAGTGGGGTACAGTACAGGACTTAAACAGTTGGAAGTTGAACAAAAGCCACAAACTTGTGAGTGAAGCCTGGCCTTAGCTTTCCGTAAACTTTGGTCAATTATGATTTCCCTCCATGTACAAAATGAAATCAGTACGATGGTATGGTAAGACTGGGCTAGCATGAGTGTGTTTGCCTGTGCGTACATGCTTGTCACTGTCATCAGTCATTTCTATAACCTTATCTCTCCTGTCCTAAAAAAAAAATGCTGGAATACGTCTGTTGCGTCCTATCTCTCTTTTGCTCCTCCCTCCTGATGTGTCTGTGCTCTTTCGCAGGTGGGCGAGATCACAAAGATCATGAAAGCTTACATCAACATGATCGTGAAAAAGCGCTGCAGCGTCAAGTCTGTCTCCAGTTATGGCACAAACTGGATCAGATGATGGACCGCGTTCTCAAGACGATGCACTTCTACACGACACGGACGACTGCTCTTTATGTGAGCGGGCAGAGAACAACTGGAGCCGTTGGACAAGAGCTTTGACCAACTGCAGTAACATGGAATACTCTCTGCCAATGTGAACGGAACAACGTCCCAAAACGTTGGTTACCATGGTCACTCCTCACATCACTCTCACTCACCGACACGCTGATAATAGGAATTTCAGTCCATTCATGAACCAAAAAAAGAACACAATTGTCTTCCTGGATATGTTATCGTTTGTGTATTGTTGAGCCCACAAAACAAAGCTAAAAAAAACTCAACGGACATATTTGCTCAGGTGATACAAATGCCTTCATGCTGGGAGTTCAGTGCAGATGTGGCCTTTTCTTACAGCGTAAAACGAGTGCAACGAGTGCAACGAGAACTGTACCCACTGCAGAAATGTTGATTCATGTCAGAACATTTGTGTATTTTGTTGTGCGTATGTGTTTCTTTGACAGGATTTGTTTGGTAAAGGCTCTCTTGTCTCTTATGCCAACAAGGGAGGGGTATTTATTATAACATGATTGTGTGCTATAATATAAGTATAAGCTTTGCTAGACTGTTATGCTGTTTTGTTTTTTTCTTTGTACAATATTTTGACATTTCAAGCTTGGTTTAGGCTAATACTAAGGGATTGTTAGATGTCTGTTACGGTCAACAATATTTCTTATGGCTGATTTCTGTTGTGTCCAGTGCTTTGCCAATTACACCGATTGTGAATATGAATGATCCACAATGATGTATGTGAAACCCAGGGCTCAGCTCATGTCCAGTCTCTGAGGCAGCTCTGGTCGGCTGCCGGCGGCCGCACCAGAGCACACCACGCGCTCAGTGATGATTCTCACATTTACGACTGCTTTGAAGGAAACGTGGAGCTTGTTTTATATCAGAATTTAAAGATGCTTTAATAAATTATTGTATTTAACGTTGCTGTTGTCGTTCCTCTGATCATAAAACATAGATGCGTGGTCTCCCTCTACTGCCATCGACAAAAGACACATCAGTGTATTTGATGATTGGGAAGTTTTAGAGGAAAAAAAGCATTTGAAAAAGAAATTGTAATAGTGTTGATCAAGAAAATACTATACCATGGGAGAAATGTGTATTTTTTCCTTGCAAATGAACATCTTTGATTCGATATTGGAAAACAGAGGAGTGGTCATGGGTGGTTCAAATTCAAGTTTTTTTTGCCTTTTTAATACCATAAAATATACTGGCAGAAAACATGGTTGTTCAATTTGCTTCTCAAATGTAAAAGTGATTTTTGCTTTTGGTCTGTGTTCCGCCTCTCTTTATTTAGGCATACATTTTAAAGGAGACATATTATGAAACTTGAGTTGTTTAACGATTTTAGCCAAAAGCATAAAAGCTCCTGTCTCAGACGTCATAGTGGTATATGATGTAATTATACCACTATGACGTCACGCTCAGAGCAGTTTTCTTTCAAACAAAAGTATTGCCCGTGAATTAGTTTTGGTGATTTCTGAAGTGAAACGACGTTCTTTTCAATCAATTGTCAATTTCAGATTTGGAAAAAGACTTATTCTAAACCTCCCTAGCATAGGGATAGAGCCGGATAGAGCAGGCCAATTGCATTATTTCATCCAACTTTCACATTCTACAACAAGTAACGAGTATGAGGGCGTATTTATTTATTTTTTGACACGGATGAGACTCGTAGGTCCCTGTATGAACCCTGACAGTGACCGCTGATTATAATCCAACTTACCATCAATATAGCACAGAGAGAATGACACTGTTACGATAGTCGGTATTCCATAGCGGACTGACAGAGCTTGAGGATCAGCATAACTATATATTGTACAATCAGATGAGGGGATAGCGCGAACGCAGTCCCCACTACCATAAATAATGCAGTCGAGATTCCCACATGTGGGTGCTATATTGATGTAAGTTGGATTATAATCAGCGGTCACTGTCAGGGTTCATACAGGGACCTACGAGTCTCATCCGTGTCAAAAAATAAATAAATACGCCCTCATAATTCGTTACTTGTTGTAGAATGTGAAAGTTGGATGAAATAATGCAATTGGCTCTGCTCTATCCCTATGCTAGGGAGGTTTAGAATAAGTCTTTTTCCAAATCTGAAATTGACAATTGATTGAAAAGAACGTCGTTTCACTTCAGAAATCACCAAAACTAATTCACGGGCAATACTTTTGTTTGAAAAGAAAACTGCTCTGAGCGTGACGTCATAGTGGTATAATTACATCATATACCACTATGACGTCTGAGACAGAGCTTTTATGCTTTTGGCTAAAATCGTTAAACAACTCAAGTTTCATAATATGTCTCCTTTAAAATGTATGCCTAAATAAAGAGAGGCGGAACACAGACCAAAAGCAAAAATCACTTTTACATTTGGAGAAGCAAATTGAACAACCATGTTTTCTGCCAGTATATTTTATGGTATTAAAAAGGCAAAAAAAACTTGAATTTGAACCACCCATGACCACTCCTCTGTTTTCCAATATCGAATCAAAGATGTTCATTTGCAAGGAAAAAATACACATTTCTCCCATGGTATAGTATTTTCTTGATCAACACTATTACAATTTCTTTTTCAAATGCTTTTTTTCCTCTAAAACTTCCCAATCATCAATACACTGATGTGTCTTTTGTCGATGGCAAGTAGAGGAAAAAAAGCATTTGAAAAAGAAATTGTAATAGTGTTGATCAAGAAAATACTATACCATGGGAGAAATGTGTATTTTTTCCTTGGCAAAGTGAGAATACCATGCAGGGAACGGAGAAAAAAACAAAAAAAAAAAAAAAAAACAAAAAAGGTGGGAACAAGAAAAAAAAACAAGAAAATAAACCAAAAAAAAAAAAAAGATAGTAAAAAACAAAAAAAAAAAAACAAAAGGAAAAACAGAAACAAAAAAAAAAAACACAAAACAAGAACCAGAAAAAAAGGAAGTGGAAAAAAAAAAAGAACAAAACGAAACAAACAACAAGGGAGAAAAACACAAACAAACAACAAAACAAAAAAAAAGAAACAAACACATAAAACAGAAGAAAAACACAGGGAAAAACAAAAACAAACCAAAAAAAACAAAGAAGAAACAAAACACATAAATAAAAAAACAAAAACACAGAAAAAAAAAAAACAAAAAACAAAAAAAAAAGGAAAAAAACACGAAAAAACAAACAAAAAAAGAAAAAAAAAGAAAAAAACAAACAACAACAAGAACAAAAAAACATGAAAATAAAAAAAAACGAAAAAACAAAAAAAAAAAAAAAAAAACAAAAAACAAAAAAAAAAACAATAAAAAAAACAAAAAACAAAAAAAAAAGAAAAAAAAAAAAACAAAAAAAAAAAAACCAACAAAAAACGAAAAAAAAAAAGAAAAAAAAATAAACAAAAAAAAACAAAGAACAAAAAAAAACCTGGAAAAAGAAGAAAAACAAATAGAACTAAACTAAAAAAAAAAAATAAAAAAAAAAAAAACAAAAAAAAAAAAAAAAACAAAAAACAAAAAAAAAACAAAAAAAAAAAAAAAAAAAAAAAAAAAAAATAAAAAATAAAAAAACAAAAACAAAAAAACAAAAAAAAATAAAAAAAAAAAAAGAAAAAAAAACAAAGAAACAAAAAAAAAAAACAAAAAAAAAAAAAAAGAAAAGGGAAAAAAAAAAAAAAAAAAAAACATACAAATAAAAAAAAAACATCTTTGATTCGATATTGGAAAACAGAGGAGTGGTCATGGGTGGTTCAAATTCAAGTTTTTTTTGCCTTTTTAATACCATAAAATATACTGGCAGAAAACATGGTTGTTCAATTTGCTTCTCAAATGTAAAAGTGATTTTTGCTTTTGGTCTGTGTTCCGCCTCTCTTTATTTAGGCATACATTTTAAAGGAGACATATTATGAAACTTGAGTTGTTTAACGATTTTAGCCAAAAGCATAAAAGCTCCTGTCTCAGACGTCATAGTGGTATATGATGTAATTATACCACTATGACGTCACGCTCAGAGCAGTTTTCTTTCAAACAAAAGTATTGCCCGTGAATTAGTTTTGGTGATTTCTGAAGTGAAACGACGTTCTTTTCAATCAATTGTCAATTTCAGATTTGGAAAAAGACTTATTCTAAACCTCCCTAGCATAGGGATAGAGCCGGATAGAGCAGGCCAATTGCATTATTTCATCCAACTTTCACATTCTACAACAAGTAACGAGTATGAGGGCGTATTTATTTATTTTTTGACACGGATGAGACTCGTAGGTCCCTGTATGAACCCTGACAGTGACCGCTGATTATAATCCAACTTACATCAATATAGCACAGAGAGAATGACACTGTTACGATAGTCGGTATTCCATAGCGGACTGACAGAGCTTGAGGATCAGCATAACTATATATTGTACAATCAGATGAGGGGATAGCGCGAACGCAGTCCCCACTACCATAAATAATGCAGTCGAGATTCCCACATGTGGGGAATTCGTTCGGGTCAGTGTGTCGAAGTGCAATGACAACGCCTCACCGAAGACGAACCACCTTAATGATCATGGTGTCGTCCCTGCCAGGTAAGTATGCCCTATCATAACAAGAGCAGACAAGGTATTCTTTTACATACTGTCCTGGCTCATGGTGCACCAACTAAATATAAAAACATAGACTTGGATCGAAACTATGACATATTCCTTGAACACCCTATCACTGAACATAATTATACACACTATAAACTTAACAATTACTCCAGACAAATATGCATCAACAAAGAATAAACGTGTACATCCCAAGATGCATTGCGGTTTAACAGACCACCGCCTGCGGCTCCGAGGAGAAACGTGTTTTTCTTAAATGGTTCCGCTGATTTGCCAATTTTAATCATTGATTTACGAGATTTACACAGCGATTCAAAATCTGAATACGATTTATTGTTAGTTTGCTTGTTATATCACCCTTAATTCTATTATCACCAAGCAAAATGTAAAATATAAACATAATTGAAATTGACACGCTGCTTCTAGTCATGTCTGTTTATCAGTGCTGACAACACGCCTTTACGAAAGTTGGTAACAAACTGTACCGAAGTATAGAAGGGACTGAAGAATCCGTGATGTCAGATGTCTCTCGTAAACAGCCTCCGAGCTCCTCCCTTCTACTCTGCTCCTCACAAGAGTGAGTTCAGTGCAGCGTGTGGATTCTGCCTACTTCACTTGTGCAAACATGTCCGGATTGTGCAGGCTTTTACTCTTTGCTCTGGCCTTAAATCTGTTCAATTTTGGATGTACCTATGCACAGACGCCCACACCGCCACCAACGTCTTCAAGTAAGTTGATGTTTTGTTTTAATTTACGTATTTTACAAACTTTATGTGGGTTTACTACATGGATGGTTCACTCACTATGATAAAAGTCAGGAGACAATCACATGACTAGTTTCCTCATTGTTCATATTGATTGACTAAGGCGTCTATATTGTGTCCATGTTTTAGACGGAATATAATAATTAGTGTTGTTTGACCCCGTAACCTAATATCACACATGTTTATACTCCACAGCTCCCTGTGCTACAAAAACCAACACAACTTGTGGTGAATGCTTGCAGAATGTAACTGTAAGTATGCTGTAGTTTTGGGTCTATCTTAAAATGTCGAAATGTAATGCAAAATGTCTTTTGTCCATAGTGCTTATGGTGTGAACAAACTCAGCAATGTATCGACTACCCTGTGAGAAATATTTTTCCACCAAGGAGTGTGTGTCCTTTGAATGATGCCCGATGGGGAGTCTGCTGGGGTTAGAGAGATTATTTAACATATTTGAAGTTGGTTTTCTTGCATTTTTACACATATTTTTGTGCACAGTCAACTTCCAGGTGTTGATCATCACCATGTCAGTGCTGGCCGGTGTTTTGCTCATCTCCATTTTAGTCTGCTGCCTGTGCTGCTGCAAGTGTGAGAAAATTGGGTAAGTCAAATGAATAGAGCAGTTCTCGTGCACCACAGGAGCAGTAGGAGGAGAAGAAGAACAATAGCCCTTATTCACAGTGGCTGTTACTGACGTCTCCAAAAGCCGTTAGAACTTGTGTCTAGGATAAGCCATGTAAATAACTGGTTTATTGTTCCTTTGATATACCTCCCTGGTGAAATGTAAGAAACAATGTATGTATGTGTTTCAGAAATAAAAGGGAAAATGCAAAAGCTGAGAGAGAGAACCGAGCCAGGACGGCTCGACAGAAAGCAAGGTAGCTTTTGTTTTAGAAATGTCAAAATAATTTCAAATACACCATTCACTACAAGTTTTCCTTGTTAACATTTCTAACCTTGCTCTTATAGGAGGACAGAGATGCAGATGAGACATGATGAAATCCGGCAGAAGTATGGTGAGTTTCCCCTTGCTTGATGTCCCCTACAATAAAAAAGTGTCGTTAATTTGAAAAGCAGTTCCATAAATAAGAAATCTGTATCTCAAAATCATCATCTTATAAGTCCTAGTTTCCCCTCCCCCTCCTCAACAGGAAAAAAAATGTTTTACTGTTGATTCTTTTTTTGTCTTTAAGTGAGTAAAGTTTCTGGAGGTCAATTATAGAAATAGAAAGTTAAACCATAATTTGGAACATTCCACGCAGAAATAAATCAGTTTAGTGTCACACTGGGAAATATTGTAGCCGTTTTTTATACACATTTACATGGAAACAAACAGAAGGAGATCCTGCTCTCAAGCCCACTCACACACATGGACACAACAACAATTATGTTTTGGCTAAAAAGTTACATTCTGTTCTTAAAAATAAAAATATACATACTGTATATAAATATCATGCATGATCTGACCATTGACTGTATTGTTTTGTTGCTGTTCTCCTACAGGTGTGGCGAAGGACAACCCATACTCTCGAATGAATGAACACTAAATAAGATTATTTTTCTAATGAGCCAGTGCCTTTACTTTAAATAAGCGAATAACGGTATGCTAACATGCACCAACTTAAGAATTGTTAAGATGTCAGTATTTAGTTTGACTGTGACCAAAGGTTTTCTATTTTTGCTCTATTTGTTGGTGTTATTTTGTGTGTTCGAGATTCTAATCTATCTGAGGATTTACTTACCCCTCGCTCAGACTGCATGCCAGTTCAAAGCATCATAACATAACGTAAGAGCCTGAGGTATTTACGTTTATGGATCTACTTTCTCACTGGATTCCACAACCCTCCGCAGCCTTTTTCCTGAATAAATAATCATCTTTATCAAAACACAAGGTTTCACAAGTGCGTCTTTCAAGGCCTGCAACTGCATGAACCGTTTCCCACACTACAGCTTCACTTGCAGTTTGAGCGAGGTGGTGGTAGTGATTTTGTGACTGATAACGTCTATTTTTCAATATGAATATTTTGTTGTTTGTTTTGTTCTAGTATTTGTTAAGTCTTGTACAAGGCACACACTGTCTCGCTCTAGCAATTATCAAAGCTGTAACTCATTTTATTTATAATACAGTTAAGATTAACAACCTGAGTGCAGAAGTAATTCCTCTTGTGGATCAAGTTTGTCTTTGTGTATAACTGAACATATTTCTGCTTTACAGCGGGTGATCGCTAACAGGAATCTCTAAATGTTTATTTTTGTATCACTTGTGTAGTCAGTAGACAATGCCGTGTTTGGTGGAATAAAAATGTTGTTGTGATCAGTTTGTCTTTTGTTATGTTTATTCTTGTGTTGTCTTGGGATGATCCATACAGTAGGATATAGGATGAGGCTTTGTCATTCAAGTGATCACGGGAGCGCGCACACTAAAATGCGCGCTCCCGTATGCACGCCCCCGAGAGACCAAAACCACGTGACCCGTGTGGTCGAATTACATTTCAAATGTGAGTGCGCGCGCCTGGCGCACACGCACAGAGCGGAGGAAGTGAAAACAACCCGCACCAGACCCGCAGCAGCTTTCACGCACAATGTCTGAAGAAAAGCCCAAGGTAAGCGCTTCTCCGCCTGTTCAGCTCCTGTGGCCGGGCTGCAGGCTCCGTCTGTGAGCGGTCCTCTGTGACTGCCCACCCTGCTGGCCACGCTGCGTTTGAGCGGGGACACCGTGAAAACAATGGTTTGCGGACATCTGGACTTTATTTGCACAATTTGGTATTATTGGGGTTTCCTGCTTTCATTTCGGAATGCACCGGTTCTTCTGTGCACTTTAAAGGACCCGTGGTACATGTGATTTTGGCCCAGAGATTGACTGACTGTGCTAAGAACGGCTTCAGTTTCCCTTCCATTTGCGCCATTCTGTCTGCGCCACTTTGGGCTAATATGCTAAGCTAACAGCGGACGAAACCCATGTTTAGCGGCATGCAGTGCAGATAGTCCCCACAGAGGGTGCTAAAGAGAGGCCGGTGATGCTAATGCTAACATGTTTTGTTTTGTGCAGGAGGGAGTGAAGACTGAGAACGACCACATAAACCTGAAGGTAGCGGGGCAGGACGGCTCTGTGGTACAGTTTAAGATCAAGAGGCACACCCCGCTCAGTAAACTAATGAAGGCGTACTGTGAACGGCAGGTAAGTGTCGGACTCTCCAGGTCTCCTACATGTGTTTGCATCTGTCTAAACACTTCTCTTTGCAGGGATTGTCTATCCGTCAGATTCGGTTTAGATTTGATGGACAGCCGATCAACGAGACAGACACACCTGCACAGGTAATACAGAAATGCACTGGTTTCTTTTTAAAGAGTCAGAGTAAATCCTGGTTTTGCTCCAGTTTTTACATATAAGAAATTGAATTTGTTCACATCAAGGTGGTTGATGTAATTGGGTTAGTCTCCTGAAAAATTGTGACGACAATGTTGGCTTGGTGTAGTGGAGCTTTTGAATCGTAACAAGATGGATCAAGGATATAAAACACTGGTCAGCCTGTTTTTAAAGCCTAAAAAATATTATATTTTTTGCAGTTGGAGATGGAGGATGAAGACACAATTGATGTATTTCAGCAACAGACTGGAGGGTCATATTCTTAAGCAGATGGACGTGGATGAGACTTTCACAAACTTGTTATTGTATATTTTTACTTTTTCTGACTTTCTATTTCCCTGATCATCTGGCTAAATGAGGGGCAGAAGAAATAATTTTATGGTTTTGAGAGGACTGCTTTTTCATTAGGCCCCTATTCTGAACTCTGAGAGCATGGCAATTTAAATCAATTGTACTTGAATAAATTGTGTGATTGGAGTCTAATGATAAAGCTGCGGCTCAGCTCAATTTTATCTTGTTCACAAAACTACATGCCAAAATAGTTTACTTTTAAACCTGCAGGAGCGTGACTGTTTTTAAGACTTTTGTTTTGTACATTACCAGCAGTGGTGATGCTATTTTGTATGTTTGGTAACTTTAAAATCATGTTTTCATGTTGAGAGTTTGTGGTGTGAAAGTGATTGAATGGTTTACCTCAACTGTCGCCCTCAATTGAACTGTATCTAGTAAATAAAGTGTTTTTGGACCAAATGATAACTGTTCTGTTTTTGCCATGTTTTCTTAGCATTAGTATAGGCATGTGTCGCATAGTCTGGACGAGGAGTACATGGTCAATCTTTGGTCAGACTCTCGGGTGTCTTACTGAGCTGGTGAGAGGTTGACCAACCATGTCCTGCTTATTCTTTCTGATATGAGCATCACAAATTTGTTAGATCCCTTTTGTATACCATGCATTGGGGCCCAGCACTGACCTCACCCAGGAAAATATTTATCCCTTTTGAGGCCAGAAAGCTCTCCACACAATGGGCTCAAAATCAAATATGTACACGCGTCGCAAGTTCCTTTAAAACACAAATGGTTTTCTCTGCAGCGATATTTTACACCAGTTGAGCAAAAAATGGCGCCAAATGCATGAAGCCGATGGAACCACCCCTTCATGGTGCAGTACAGGCAGTCTTTCACGAGAGGGCGCTCTTGTTCCATAGACCAGAGTTCGTCCATGTGGCTACAACACTTCAATCAGGACACACTTGTTGCTTCATATGTTCACAAAAGGTAAAACCAACTTTGTAATGATGGTATCATAAATGGTCATTCAATCATTCATACCTCGTGTGGAGTTGGAGGTTTCTGTTGGTAGCCGTGTAACACTTGACCGACGTAAAAACAAACTTGCAAATATATTGAGTCCTATGAAACTGCTTCATATTTAGTACACCAGACTAGACCAATACACCGAGGACTGTTGGTTAAAAAAGGCCACACTGACATGTAAGCTACGGGCAGTCAGTATACAATAGTAAGAAAAAAGGGGTTATTGGATTCTTGATTATTAAAGAACAAAACCCCTTTCCCCACAGGGACAGCATATCCTCAGTCAAATTCTCCATATGCACCTGTTGTTGGCCCATATTTCAGATTTGTTTATTCATGTCTTGTGAAAATCCCCCTAAAATTCCCTCAATCCCATTCAATATTTCAATGTTTTGGTCAGACACTACCAGCAAGATTGTTTTATCAACGACATATAATACCAAATTCTATTTGACGTCAACATTCTCAGACATTGTGGCCATGACCTGATTATTTTAGAGACAATTATCCCAATGTTAGAAGAATGTCCTTTATTCGTCCCACAGTGAGGAAATTTCCGTTTGATAACATTGTTATTCTATGTTTTAAGCATGTGAATAATAAGTGACATAGTAAAATATTGAGGGAATGTATTTCGAATAAGGAAATCAGTGAGTTAATCAAGGGTTTGCATGTGCTCACAATGTTAAGTGTTTAGTACCCTTAACAAAATAGCAAACTGGAAAGAGAATCACACCCTTATACTTTGCACACATAGTTTAGATTTATAGATATACAGCTATGTATTTAATGTCCTCCATGCACCAGATCTAGTCAGTGCACTTGTACAGGGTAGGGTTGTAAAAAGTCTGTAATATCAGATAGTAATCGAGACTAAAATTAGTATTGATCCCGTCTAGATGCTACATAATTACCTAAGACATTTAATTTGAATAATCACTATGGTATCTAAATTGATATCAAGTACTTCTAGCATTGAAACAGTTTGAAATGTGGTATCGTGACAACACTCAGAGGTGATCAGGTCAGTCAGCTGTATCCTCTGGTTGAATTGAACAGCAGACCACAGCACATCCCTCTCTGTGGACCGGGGAGTGAAACAGATCTTTGTGCATCTGGAAGAACTCGGATAATCTCCAGGGCTTCATGATGTCAGCCGCTGCTGCCTGTGTGTAATCTGGTCTCCACCCTTTCCGCGACTCCAATTTCATCCCCATGTGGTGTGTAGAAGGACAAATCATGGGAGGGTGCTCTGGTGCTCTGGGAATATGGTTTGTTTTGAGTTAGGACAATATTCAGAAGAATATATTAAATGAATACAAGGCAGTATCCAGTAGATGAGGCAGTAGTGACAAAACATTTTTGCAAAGATGGAAAAGGTGTACTGTAGTGTACTGTCTCAAGTATCTTTTCCTGGTATCAGTACCTTCCTACAGTTCCTTATACTTTTTTACTACAACCCCTTCCCATTTACTGCTCAAATGTAAACCCAAACATCTGCACTTTTCTGCTCCTTACAAAATGACTCGTTACTTAAGATGGCAACAAAACAAAGACCAGTTTGATTGTGGATGAATTCATTATGGTTAGCCATGCTTCTAAATTCACATGTTTTGTTTTGTTGTCATTCTATCCATCAGTATGAAGTATAATGTTGTTGTGTACGTGTTTCAAAGGCAAAGCGTGACATGCATATTCGAAAGAAAGTGCTTAAGGAGAGAACATTGAGGATTTGCTACTGCACCAGAGGGCTTGAATGCCACCTGAGGTAATTCATGAAATTTTAGATCAATTATCAAGTATCAATTGGTATGAGGCCATTTGTATCGGCCATTCCAATCCCAACCCCCAACTATTCGAAACAGACCATTTAATTACATGGAAAATGTAAGAAAAAATTGGATACACTATAATGCTGACCATGGATGTTACATCCTACCTAATGGGTAATGCTGCTGCCTTGTCCTTAAAAACATCCACAATTGAATATGTGATTAAAAGCTGGGGTACCTAACTTTCAAACTAGAACATTTGAACTCTATAATACAATCTTCCTTACTATAGGTTTATAAAAAAAGTTTCTAACTCTGAAAACAGTTTGAATCTATCATTAGTTTTCTCTGTATGTGATTTTGGACGTCTGATATCTAGATAAACTTTTCACACTAAAAAAGTAAAAAGCCAATAAGCTCTTTGCCTGATAAGTCAAATAGTGACTCGTGTTGATTTTCCTTTTACGAAAATTTTCGTGGGACAAAATGTATTATTTCTGAAACAAAATAATAGGCGTCCCAGCTTTAACTTAAGCAATTACTCACTCTATTTCCCAATTCTGGTGATGAGAGGGGCACAGGACAGGGGCGCGCTCGTGAGGCACCCTGTTCATTACGCACACACACGCACGCACGCAAGCACACGCACTAGCAGATACACTCGTCTCCTTAGCTACGGGGCGCTTTAGGAGGGAGCTGCAACGCCCCAAGAAGCAGAGCAGTAGAAGGAGTAGTGGGAGGCATCACCCCCTCAAAGAGCTCATTGTGGGGAGGGCAGAGTGGACCCCATCCCGGTCAGCGCTGGACGGATTAGCGGACTGGGCACACACACACACACACGCACAGACAGACGCACACACGGGGGAGGACTGCTTAACGTGAATCATGCTCGTCGTCATTACTACCGACTGGGAGTGGAGCCGAAATTGTGCAAGATACGGATAACTTCAATAAACTGCGCCTTCTTCGGGTCCGCGGATCGCCCCCAAGTTTCCCGCACGGCTCCATTAGATTATGCGCAAAAATGCCTCGTCGCGAAACGCCGCGTCCGGGCTCACGTGTGCTTTATGCTGAGGAAGAAGTGATCAACAGAAAACGCCTGTGACTGGGGGGAAAAGCCAACGGAGAACTGCGCGAGTTGGATGTTTTTGGTTGCTTGTTTTGAGTGCCATTTCTTCTTTTAACTTGTAGCTTTTGAAAACTTGTGATCGGGGGAGAAACGACGTGAAGAGCCATGGGGAACGCAGGCAGCATGGATCAGCACACGGACTTGAGGGGACACAACATGCCCCTGAAACTGCCCATGCCAGACCCGGGGGAACTAGAAGAGAGATTCGCGATTGTTTTGGTAAGAATTGATAATGATCTGCTTTTTTTTTTTTTACTTTGAATGTAGTCTTTCACGGCGCGCCACGCTTGACTGTCCTGGGATGGGACAGCAGCTGTAGTCAGTAAAGCCCCTATGACCATCACGCCTCATTCTTTGTTGTCAGCAAATGGACAGTCTTAACAAACTTCTACCCATAAGTTCTCACTGTGTATTGTTGCTGCGTGACAATGATAAAAGTGAAACTTTTATAGACATTCATTTGCGCTTGTAATTATTTGAGAGAAAATAATTTTGCGTGTCCTCTGCTCGCATTACGGTATTTTGTTTTATAGCAGCCCTTATCATATTTTATAGATAACTGCTGGTAGCCCAACTATGTTCATTGGAGACATCTGCCCCATTATAAACTGTCAATAACTACCCCAACCTAACCTTAAACATAATACAAACCAAAGTCCATTTTAATGGTGGCCTATTCCATATTATCTGATCACATTTTGCCCTCCATCTTCAACACCCCAAGCACAGACTGGCATTGTCAACTATTAACAGCTTTTAATAATGCTGATTTAATGTTGATCAGGAGGACTCCTCGGACAGTGCTGCCTTGTTGCTGGAAACAGAGGAGGCACATAGAAGAACAGTGAAGTCAGACAGTTGGGGTGAAATTTGAGAATCTCCAAAATGTGGGTCAAACGTGATTGTCATCTGCTCTCAAACATTAGCCATAACTGCTGGAAGAATGTATAACTTGATCAGACTTATGAATGTTCAAAGTGTTGTGTTGTCATGGTGAAAGTGAAACGGGATTGACTCTGAATCAGATGTTTTAGAGGAATTGTTGTTTCATTTTCCGTTGTGAAGGGGATTTACAGCTATAATATTGTTCACATGACCGCAGCACATACATTTTGGTTTTAGGAAAATCATTTTTGGATGTTGAAGCCAATGGAAAAAGCAGGACATGCGTTTGTCATAGTAACTTCCTCCAGAAAGTTTTCCTTAGCCTAGGATAGATACGTTATTTTTTGTGTGGTGGATTCTTTTTCAATTACACCAAACCTATCAATTATTATATATTCATTTTGGACTTCCTCTGGCGATGCAACGTCTATTTGATTTCAGGTTTCACCACGCCATCTCCCCTGTTTTCAAAATTACCATTCATTAACAGTTAAGTTTATACCACGTCATGGAGCATCACTGACTGTATTCCCAACTAACCAAACTGGATATTGTGGTCTTACGCGCATCTATTTTAAAAGCAAGTTGTGTAATAGTTTATCTTTTTGAGGTGGCACAGATCTTTTAGCTCGTAAGCCCATTAAAAAAAGAGGATCACGTCGAGGTAGCAGGGTGCTTGGGTGTGATTGCTTCTTGTCCTGCTCTGATGAATAAGGCGGTAATGACAAAATCGCGAGGTACTCATCGTTGACGTTATGCCATTGAAGGATTTAGGATTTCTTGTCAAAACCAAAGCTGCTCCTACAATCACTTGCTTGAATAATATCCCCTTTTACACAATGGCATTGAAATGACAGTCAAAACAATTTGTTAATCCTTGTCATTATCAAACAAAGAAGCATAAACTTGAGTGGCGCCTCTGGGGAAAACATACGTGATGACAAATGGACGTTTCATTTTCCTCAACACTTTTGTTAATTGGATAGGAACCAAACGATTTACTAGTTGACCTGGTAGCAGACAGAAAACAAAGCAGCACTGTGATATGGAGTTAAAGCTGGGGTCGCTACAGAAAGCCCAATTTGTCACTTTTGGCTTAGTGACTCTACTTTATCCTATATTCTGTCTGTCTGAATACATGCATGTGAATACTAGTGATAGAACCAAATCGTTTTGAGAGCGAGAAACTTGTTTGTGGTTTTAAAGTTAGGTTCCCCGGCTTTAAAGCAATCAATCTGCGTTTAACATTTCTAACAAGTCAATGTGCATGATCGGTGGCTATTGACCGTTAAAGAGCTAAAACATACACTTGTCAATTGCAGTAATTGGTTGTATGTGCTGTCAGAAAAGTCTGTTAGTGTTGCACGACAGACACACTCTCCCTTTCTCCCATCATCCTTTGCTGCTGCCAGCCTGAGTGATGCCTAGCTCTTGCTCTTGGCGAAATGGAAACCCCACAGCATTAGTGGAGTTTAGTGCTATAATCACAGCGTTTGGGGTTATTTACTGCTGCTCAAACCGATGTGTCCAGTGGCGGCCTGCTCTATTGATTGGCTGAGTGAGTGGCACTGGGACGCTCAGATTATGACCTCACTACAGCCATTAAAGACTAACCGCTACATCAAACTGCTTCTTTGCCATCCTTCATAGATTTATAGGATACAATCATTTTTCAAACCATTGAGCATGAAGCATTACTGCCATGATTGCAGCCTCAAGGTTTGAAGTCAAATTGATAATCAAATTAAATGTTTATAAGCACGTAGTAGTGTTTAAAGACAATAAAAAGTAATGTCCTATAACTTTGAGTCGGTTATTACAGCCCAAAGGTTTGCCTGGGGCGTATAATTCAATATGTACAATTACCTTGTTGAAAACCCTGAAATTATAACTTATGTAATCTTCTGCATCATGTATAAAGGAAGCTGTAATAGGTAGTTATGATGAAGGAGCCCAACTGTGGTGAAGTGTTTGGATAAAGGATGGTCCTGTGTGTGTCCATCTGCACTCGCCACAGTCACCAGTCACTGCCCTGGAGACTCTCTGGGCCATCTGACCTTAGATCAACTGAAGTACTCTGCAATTTATACATGAACTTAAGACAAAGTACAATTCACTTATATTACTTATTGGCTATTGAGACAGGCTAGTATAGTATCACTTCAAAAAATCTTGGAGGCTGAGTAGGCATTTTCCACTAAATGAATCGCTCCCATTGAAGTTTGTGTCTCATGAGTCCCCAGGGCCCAGGCCTGATCTTTGATACAGACTTAAGCTAATTGTAATGCAGGGCCTCGGCTACGATAAAAGAGTCTATTTCACACCATGTGGCCTTGGCTTTTCACTGAGATGTGTTTTGGATTTTTTGAGTTTTTAAAAGCAATGAATGGAGAATAATCTTAAACATAAGGCTGTTTTTAATAAGAATTTAAGCCAGAGGGACTTGAAACTGGAAAACCTGTACCTTCAACACAATCTTAATCTTTAGCAGTAGCCCTAGTAAGATATTGTATTGAACCGCTGTTTCCTTTGCAACTTTACAAAACTGCCTTAATGTTCAATGGTATGGTTCTGCCTTGATCTTCTATAACGCTCATATAAATTCTGCTTTGTCGCTGGTTTTAGAAGCATGATTGAACATCTGGTGCTGTGTTGTGGTTACATTCGTAGCTGACATATCGCATTGCAAAACAAAAACATGATTATGTAGTGTAGCTGCCTCCAAATCCAACACCGGGGACGCTTCTGCCCACATGAGCATTGCACTCAATCAATTTTCCTCCTCTTTATTGCACAATCAATCAAACGTCAAGTGTAAGAGGGTGAGAGGCGTGTCTGAAAATGGTAGTTTTGTCTCTAAGTGCACAGTGACCAAAAGCATCAATCTCTGGTGGCTGTACATTGTGCCCTGCGCTGAACCACAGCTTTACATGACTCTGTGCAACAGGAATGCAGCGTCTCGTGTCTGACTCAGCTACGGCGACGCTGTGATGATGCCGATTTACAGTACCATCACATGCTGGCAACAACAATAAAAGATCAAACATAAATAAATTAGTTGTTAAAGTAAATGCCATATGGGATCTATAGGCTTAGCATTTGTTGTTGTAGCTGCTCTTCTCCATAGGCCACCCAGATTACATGTAAGCCTCTTTGGTTAAAGGGCTAGTGGGGGGCTTCAGACATATTGGCCTTTCCAAGACACTGTATTTGAAATGTACTCCTTAGATTAATTAAGATCTGTCATGCTTCTATATTACCTAATGTATCATGCAGTCAAATTCAAGCTATAGTTATCCTCACTGTGATGGTACATTTTCCCACTGTAATGGTTCTCTCTTGAAACAATTAATATACTTATAAACTTATATTTTTTTTAGGCATTATCAACTCAATTTGTCTGGAATTGGCTACAGTGCACTGCTAAAGAGTTGAAAATGTAAAGATGTATTAAGACCAAAAATGGCTACATATAGAGATGAAATAACATTTTCTTCCGCAGACTGGCTGGATTCTTACTAGATGTCTCTCTAGGGAACACTGGGGCTCTTTGCTTAAACTCCTGCCACAGTGACCTGGCAACAGATAAAGTGGAAGAGTTGATTCAGAAACGGAACCTTTCAGTGAGATCATACAATACATGCATGTTGTCTATAACCAAAGCATATAAATATTACAAATATCCCATTTTAGTTAGCATAACAGCAATATTCATAGTGAGAACAAGTCTGTTTCAAACAACATGGCATTGCCTTATGAACAGCCTGTGCATTTACAATATACTTAAATGATATTGATTTTACAAAACTCTGGCCTCATTTATGCTCAGGTCATTTCAATCCATCTCACCTCCATGACATGTCTCTTGACCGTTTTGCTTTGTTCATTAAGAGAGGACTACACCTCCTGTGGTGGCTTTGCACTTTTCAGAAAATGGCAGATTCTCACACAAATAAGCAAACACATGCTCTTTCAAAGCTGGCTTCTCCCATCCATCAATGTGACAGCATTGAGGTACTTTTTTTATTTTGAGAATAAAAAATGTAATTTTCTGCATCTTGCTGGAACTTTTAGCCATCCCCGTAAACTCCCAAACATTGTATAGAAGGCCTATTCAACCTGCGGCCCAGGGGCCAAATCCGGCCCACCAAACAATCTGAGCAGGTTTGGTTTAATTTAATTTAATTTAATTTAATTTAATTTTAATGTAATTTTAAAATGTATAATTCACGGGGGACGTTTTTTCCATAACTAAAGTGTTGTCTAAAACGTAAATTATTGATGACATATGCAACAACAATGATTTTGCATCAGAAGTAAAAATATTGACACAT